GGAAGAAGGAGCTCCCCTCTTATCAGGATCCTCCTTTGTGCCTCCTGGATTAGCACAGGCGTCGCTATTCTCCTCCCAGAAGATTATAGAAGATTAACCGGCCACTCAAAATTCTTACAAAAGCAGCTTCCCTCTCCTCTTTTTACTTGGTGTTCAAAAGTATGCGATGTAACACAAGCCGCGCTCAACGAGGCGATCGGCTTATCAGTAGTATCAATAGTCGAGCGCCGGGCCGGCCGAGCGCGTCACTCACGTCTTTCACGGCGCTGGCGCCACCCGTGCTCTCCCCGGAAAAGAAAAACAAAATTGAAAAAAAAAAAAAAAGGAAGCTGTACATGTTTGATGACGTCGCGGACGTGCCGGGAGAAGGAATTTGGAGGAAGCGGAAATGCAGCCGGGCAGTGTTGTCTGGCCCGCACGTCTCATCCAAAACCAGCGGATTCGTGCTTGTCAAACTTTGACAGCGATTTTAATGAACTTCTAGGCGGAATTCCGTCGTAATATTTGCCATGGGGGTTTTGTAGATGATAACAAAGAGAACTGTATAGTTTTGCACTACTGGAAAAGAAGCGGAGTTGCCCTTCATCATAGAAAGTAGGACTAACCTGAAATATAAGGAAGCATAATGCGGAGCGCAAGTTCGTCTGCTTCTTGCACATGGGTTGCGATGATGTCAAAACGCCAAGCTCTTATTGGCTGATTAAGAAAAAATAATGAGTAGACCTCAAGGCATGTAGCATTCAGGCCTAACAACTATCCTTCCAATCAAAGCCAATCAGAACTCGGCGTCGTTCTGACGTCACCGCGACCCCTGCGCAAGAAGCGGACGACTTGCTCTCCGCATTGATCGAAGTACTCCATGTCGACACCGAGCCCCTCGTCGCTATGAGTTGCTCGGAGCTCGGGTTTAATCGTGTTCTAAGCACTTCTAAGCGGCAACGACGGCAACACACCGCCATTTTTTTTTTTTTTTTTTTAACGCGCGAAATGTTTTTACAATGTTTTTGTGTTTTTGACTGTCCGGGAATCGCGGGACGACATTCATCGTATCAGTGATTGAAAAAAAACCTACATGAGAAGTATGTTTCGCTCCGCTTACTATCAGAATGGTCTTCGCTCACCGGCGGATTGAAAAGACGTACTGGGAATGAGATGATCGCCGCGATTTTCGCTAGCGCATGGAGAAGAAAGCTGACCCAGCTGTGTGCGACCAAGGATCAAAATCGAAGGTGTCACGAAACGTATGGCTAAAGGTTCTAACGGGAATTGTTTGAAACCGTATCCTTTTAAAGGTTTACGCTTACAACTGATCAAGCTCGTGCCCGATTAGTATCAAAGGTGTCTTCTCCAGTGTAAACGGTTACAAAAGACTTGAAAGATTGTTCGCCTTTTGTTATTTCTTATAAGTTGTTTTATTGTCAGCTTGTGGCGGAAACATACCTCGTCTGTAAATATCTCCACGACAATGGAGCCGCTTAAGTCATCGCAAATATAAACATTGCAGCGACCGCACGTTCCCGCGTTCCCGCCTTTCATGTCGAACTGCAGGGCACAAGTTTCGGTTTGATGTCGGAACTCTTGCTACAACATAGATGGCGACAGCATCAGATTCCATTCAAAAAAATTAGTTCGGGCCTCGTTCTCCGTGCTGCACTCCGCGAGTGCGATGTCTTCTGGGAGGTAACTAGCACGGTGCCATTGCGTGTGAAACTAACTCGCTATAAAGTTGGCTGTTACACAGTACGTCTACTGCCAGTCAGGCCGCGTTAAATGCGAAATGCTTCTGCTAGGAGCCGCACCGTGGCGTCGTTGTCTTGTAGCACCTGTAGCATAGTCTTGTAGCACGCTTCTAATGTAGTATAACTACTTTGCATGATCAAAATCAAATCATCCCTCAATTACTAAACCGTTGCAAAATGTCTCAGCTAGAATAAGGACGTGATGTAACAAACAGATCCATAGGTGCATCGTCGAGTGTATCTCGAGTGCCACGGATGCTATGAAACTTGTCTGCCGAAGGTTCAAGATATTGACCCCTTCGAAAATTACGCACTCTTATGGCCTATTTGAAAATACTGCACAGTGACGTACGTGCGCAAAAGGCACCATAAAAATGACAAGTCTATCAATTGTATACAGTTTCTTGGAAATGAGTATTATATCAATCATAAACTTGCCAAATGTTTTTTTTTTTTTTTTTTTTTTTTTTTTTTGCGCCTGCTATTGTGCAGTATTTCCGGATTGACCATAAGAGGGCGTATTTTTCGAAAGGGTCTGTAACTGCAATTTTGAAGCAAACGTCAAGTTTAGCCACTTTTACTTTTACAATCGACAATAAACATAAAAAAACAGCTAAGCCGAAGTGAAATGTAAGGACAATTAGAAAAAGAAAATTGGTTCGCCAGAATGTAGCAAATAGTTTCTAGGCAAAACTCAACGGAGAAAAAAAAAATTAGAGTAGATGTTTAGATAGCGTGGGTTTTGTCTCCTTTTCGGGTATAGCCCGGCTATCAGTACGGCTGATAGCCGGGGTTTTCAACGTGCATCGTGCAGTGGTAACACGCGACCACACGCCGGACAGTCATCCAGATTGAAACAAGCATGGGTCCTGATTGAACCCAGAATCGCTGGATTCTGTGGCGTCAGCTTTCGCTCCACGTGCTAAAGTGTTTTTAATGCGATAGCATTCACTGCTACTTCACCCGGCTTTTGCGATACGCTATCTGGCCACGAATGCGCCGTGCATATGTGCGGGGCCTCCGCATACGCAGGACGTCCGTATACGCTCGACGTCCGCATAAGCAGGCGCCGCGTATGCGGACACCGTCGTGGAGGTCGTCCTAAACGTAGTCACTTTGACGTCGTCCCCTAGGACGTCGTTCTTGAGATCGTCTTAGATCGCCCGAGGTCGTCCTAGACGTCGTCTTAGATGTCATCATCTAGGACGTCGTCCTCGCCGTCGTCCTAGAGGTCGTCCCTGAGATCGCTCTAGAGGTCGTTCTAGGCGTAGTCCATTAAGACGTCCTCCTTGAGGTCGTCCTAGTAGTCGTCCTAGACGTTGTATTTTATGTCGTTCTTTAGGACGTCGTCCTCGACGTTGCCCTAGGCTAGCAAGCGGATAAACCCGCGCCCCGCATACACGGAGCGGCAGTACGCACACTCACATTTCCGCCCAAGCTAGATTATCCGTTTGAGTTGAGCTAGAATTGGTACATGGTCAATGATGGTGGTAAAACAGCTTGAACATTAAACGATTACGCAGAGACAGAACAAGACACACACGAAGCTGCAATGATGGTGGGGAAACAACATGAACATTGAACGATTACAAAGACAAAGCAATCACTCAATTTCGAAGTGGCGCGCTGCAGTCGCGCTGACGTCAATGATTGCGTCGTAAATCATTCCTAAAATAAATTACTCAAAATCTCCGTCGCCATATTCAGTGAGCTGTAGAAAAAACAAGGACAACAGGATGCGCTCCGTGAGTGAGCTGCGTCGGGAGTCTCATGACGAATGCCAACAATAGTAGTTTCTGCAGACAATTGTTTGGTTTGTTTTTATTCTTACTGTGTGTCTCAAGAAGTACACCTGCTTCTTGACCCTCGTTTGTTGATAGAGTTAGGGATAAATCAAACTCGTTGCAAGCAATTTTTTTTTTTTTTTTTTTTTTTTTTACGCGGGAATTTTGTGCGCGATTTTTGGATTTAGTTTTTCGGTTTGTCTGCGCTGAAGTGTTCACGTCAATGGGGAGTTTTCCAAGACCGCGTGGTGTTGTGTTTGCCGGTTGTCTGCTTGCCGCCGGAAGTAGAGAGTAGAGTTCCTGTATAGCTACCTACGGTAGCTCCCGTAGGGAGCCTATACAGGAACTCTATTCGGAAGAAGAGCGAGAACGGAACGAGCGGCAAGCCGGCGATGCGCGCGATTCGTTTCGCAACCGCCGCGAGGCCGCTACCGCCTAAAGTTCCACTGCGTCGAGCGCTTCGGATTCCCTTGCAAAAGAAGAGCAGATCGCTCGCCTGGAAAGCCACCTCCGAGAACAGAAGCTACAGCTCCGCTGCTCTCCCTTCTTTACCAAAATAAAAAAAATAAAGATTTTTTTTTTTTTTTTTTTACTTTAGGACAAGTTTGGAGAGCCATAAGAAGTCATCCTTTTAGATAAAGCAATGATTTAAATGTCATTTGAAAGAATGTTTTAATGTGAATGTATGACATTAAGTTTAATGTTGTACCTATTCAATTTCTTTAAATAACCACTCAGAAATCTAGTGACGTCAAAGGAACCAAGTTTGAGCATTTTTGACGCGAGATTTATAACCTCTACAATGATGTAAATATTTCCATCAATAGTTCCCAAAATATTTTACATTTCCGATATTTGTATTTTGCACAGTAGGTGTCACCAAACATGACAGAAGCGAAAACTTAAAAAAATAAAATATGCCGTTCTGGTGCACTGCATTTTTTCTCTTCAATATTTTTTGTATCTTTTTTATTATGTTTTTTACACATGTTGAGGAGTAACATGTAAAAAAATGAAAACAAAAAATATGTCTCGAATCGTGAGCATGATCTTTTCTAACGGAGCCTAGACTATACTCTGTGTCACTAGTTGTGTGCAGTGCAGGCGAAGGTAATGCTAGGCAAAAAGAGAAAGGGCGAGCACTAGGAGCACGGGATGGGAGAGGAGGGCAGTGGAGGGCAAGGGAAGAAAGGAAGAGCACTAGAAACGCTAAAGGAAAGAAGGCTTCTCTTTTCCTCCCCAGCCCTCCTTCTGCTTTCCCTTTCTCGCCTCGCCTGGCATTGCCTTCGCGTGTATTGCATGCAAATAGTGACTCTAGGCGTGACTTACCACCAACTGGTGGCAAGCCTTACTCTCGGTCAGGCAGCTGCCTTCATGTCACTTGACTGAAGTTCCAATATTCAATGAATGCAAAACGCTTATACAATCAGTACATACAAATTTCAGTCTTCTTTATCAGACGTAAAAGGCATAAATATCGGCATACAGGGATGATGTATTTATTTCAAAATGCTCGTTAATCAGTCATTGAGATTGGGCAGTTTTCTTTACCAGTACACAAACCAATCTGCAGAAGAGGAAAACAAGCACATAAAAAGGCCATCACTCTCCATAATCTGTACATACATTTTGAAGTGCTAGACTACGTAAACAAAACAGTCTCAAAACAAAAACATGATGAAAAGTAACAGAAGCTTCATGGTCAGTTCATAAATGTTAACTCCAGAAAACGCATTATGCTCTATTGGGGAATTGTGACCGCTAACTTATTTTCAGACCTGAATTCTGCCCGCCTTCACAGCCAGCGGGTAACACGATATGTTGATGGTCTTCCAAAAACCTGGCCAGAACACCCACATTCCCGATGCAGACTGCTGCTAAAAGAACAATATCACGTTTCTTTTTCCTGTGCAATTTGGCAAACTGGAGCTCAGAATAAACACTTCATATGCATAAAAATATTCAAAGGTAAGTTCAAGCGAACGGTATACTTCGTTTCACCTTACGCCAGAGTGCTGCCAATGTTATGAGCCAGCGGGCCAACGAAGAAGTGCCGAAAGTACAACGTCATCCCGTTCTATGTCTTTCTGCGTGTGGTCATCCACCGGCTCGCCCAGCGCATAGTGTGTACCTTTGTGCTTTCAGTTGGCGTGTAGGCTTGTGCACACCCTTGGCTTTGACAGTGTCCGGACTTAATGTGAAACCAAATATAGTCCTGACTGACCCACTCTTTCAGTTCACGTCACAAACTCGAGACTTGGTGCAAATGGCAAAAGTGAACATCCCTGAGCCTACACTAAGAGGCAAATGACAGTTCGAAAGAAGGCCGAAACATTTTATGTACATTTTATGTGTTTTATGAACCGCAGTAGCTCTCACGAGACAAAGCATGTTTTCCCGAAGCCTCGCGACATGGATTGCACTTCCCAACTCTAACGCTACTTGCTAATCCCGGGTGCATGAAACGAATCGAGAGACATTTGGATGAATTTCATAAGCAAGCTTTTGAAGTCTTATTAGACAAGTTACCAGGGACAACTAGTTTGGTGGAGTGGATCTGCAATAAAAATGTTTATAAACTTAGCAAGGAGTTAGGAATGAAGTGTCCCTTCATTAAATACCATGACACAATGACTGATAAACGCAAGGCACAAGTTCTAACAAGATGGCTTTTGCAATGCAATCAGGTATGTATAGGAGTGTCTTCTAGCACAGAGGTGGTCACAAATAGTTATCATTTGCCTTGAAACTGGTTTTGACTAACTTAGCCACCGTAACAACACCAATTTTGACTGCTCAATAAGGTCTGTCACTTTATACTCCTAAAACGAGAATAATTGTTCCCTTATATTTAGCAGAAACATTTCAATATCAAACTAAACTACCAATAGAGACTTGCTCAAAAAGCAACACAAGACCAACCATCCCAATGATCCTGAGCAAGTACAATTTGCAAAGTTTCCAGTTTCTAATGTTTTCATTAGCCAAAGTAGATCATCCTTGAGTCACATACCGCACAGCCACAACATAGACACTCTACAGAACATCCATACATGGAATGTGCCATTTCCATTTACTGCCTCCTAAATCACACGACACCAAGAGTCACACCCCTTGTAATCTAACCACTCTAATGTCACAGACAGAGTATGCTGCCAGAACCCAGAAACAAAGCCAGAACTGCAACAACACAATAGGAACCTATCCTAGTGATGCAAAGTGAAAGCTCGCATTGCTAGCACGGCAAGCTATCAGTATTTACAAGAGACCAAAATTGTGGATTGTTAATACTCGGGACAAAAGTGTTCTTACCCGCGTGCCAAAGTTCGCAACTTTGGTACACACAACAGACACGTTTATAACTCTCATTCTTCCGTTCCCACAACAACCAGCATTTCGTAATATCTATGGACACTTGTTCCGCAAGAGTTACGGATATTATTCCTCTAAAGGTAGTTACGATTGAGAGTTCTGTAGCACGGTGTCGTGCATTGCAAGCGTCGTAAAAACAAAAAAACAGCGCAAACATGAGGACAAAGCAAAAGCTAACCGACAGGACGGCTACTTTGTACTTTGCCCTCGTTTTCATACCGTTTTTGTTTTTATTATGTCCGTACATCCACTAGACCAAACTTCAAAGCTAATCAAGCATGGTAGTTTGCTTCGACTCACCGGAACGCTTCTTCGTCGAACTTCTGCACCGCCTCCCAGCACGCGTGGCCGGTGAGATCAATACGTCATGCACACACCCCGTCATTGTTTCACAATAAAAACAAGCACCAAAATCAAAAAGGTAACACGCTTTTGATTATAGCAGCACTTCTAAACTACGGAACACTAGACGACGTCTTGCGACGCAACTCGAGGCAGGTCTCCAGGACAGCTAGCGGTCGGGATGTCGGCGCAAGATGTGCTGGTGCTCCGGCTGCTCGGATCTCGCGTTATGTACAGTTCCAGTTCACCCGTAACGGCTTTCGCAGTAAATGTCTATGCGAGCACCTCACAGTGTTCGAGGAACACTCCCAGCAGCTCATTCTGGAGCAACTGGGCCACGCGAAAAAGAATGCGAAGATGGTCTTTCCTAGACGCATGCACAACCGTGCTGGAGCTTGTTTCTTGAAGCTCATTTTTCGTTTTTTGGCTCGCTGCATTTGGATCACAGAGACGACGTTGAGTCCCACCGGGTCCGAGGGTTCTGTACGGCGCCTATAAAAGCAAAATATATATTTAAAAAATTGTAGAGCCCTTATACTTCAAGTAAAGATGAAGGACCAGCGAAGCTGTTATTTTTACAACCTCTACGATGATGCCTAGAGGACGACGTCTAGGACGACCTCAAGGACGACCTCAAGAGCGACCTCGAGGATGATGCCTAGAGGACATTGTCTAGGACGACCTCGAGGACGACGCCTAGAGGACGACGTCTAGACGATCCCAAGGACAACTTCTAGGATGACCTCAAAGACGACTTCTAGGTCGACCTGGAGGACGACGTCTAGAACGACCTCAAGGATGACATCTAGGACGACCTCAAGGATGACTTCTAGGACAACGCCTAGAGGACAACCTCTTAAACGATCTCAAGGACGACCTCGAGGACAACTTCCAGGATGATCTCAAGGACGATGTCTAGGACGACCTCGAGGACGACGCCTAGGACGACCTCTTGAACGACCTTAAGGACGACCTCGAGGACGATGTCTAGAGATGATAACAAGGAACCAGGACCTCACTATCTAATAATGCCAAGGAAGGCTGACTCGTGCTGGGTGCCCCCTCTTTTTATTTTTATTTATTCATACATGCTAGGACCAATAGGGAGTTTTCTGTCGACGTGTGAAAACACATTTTTTTCCCAGACCCTAGCGTATAACAGCTTCGCTATAAAAGAAATAGTAGGAACAGGTCTACTCACACTGCACGAAACGCGCCGAGAGTCAGGCTGGCCACGGCAAACAGAAGGCCGACCAATCAGACGTAATGCAGCAGCGTCTGCTTTTCGTCCTCCTCGTCGGCTTCGTGGGCGTTCTTCCAATCGCGTGGCTTCGCACCCAAGCAGCGCCACTCGCAGAAGTCCGCCAGGTTCCTTACGGGGCCCATGCTAAAGCGAAAAAAAAACATTTCGGCATTCATCTGTCTACGTTGACGACATTGAACGACCTTGACGCATAGATATTGGGCAACTGTAGTCGTTGACAAAATGAGAATGGCAGGGTGTGTCCTTCGAATGCCTGGAGTCCAGCACGCGCTCCGTGCCTTCTGCCGTGCTTAAGGCCGCGTGCGAGCGCTCGAGGTGCGCAAGATCTCGAGGCGTCGTCGAAGGTAAGAAGCTTGCGCTGGAGGCGGGACGACTGAAGCTCCTCCCTGCCTTTGTCATCTTGTCAGTGACTATAAGAAATATCACAATGTAACCCTGTTTACAGTATGCCCCTCAAAGGGACACTGAATTCCCCATAAACATTCTTTAGTGCCCGGACACGCATGTCACAAAAATAATCTGCTGAAAATTTAGTGCAAATATCAGTTATAAAAATCACTCATACAATTTTTCTTCTTTTCTTCTTTTTTTTTTGGCGGGGGGTTTATCTTGTTATTTATGTGTCCTGTCTCAGAACCTAAAAAAAAACGTTTAATAGAAGTTCTTAAGTAATAAGATTCATTCTTTGTTCGACAGCATGTTGAAAAAAAAAAGGAACAGACATGTTTGTAGTTTTGACCACTGAAGTGCGTCATATTCATTTGATTGGTGCAGCAGTTTTTGATTGGTGCAGCAGTTTTTGTCTGGCAACCGCCGAAGTAATAGTGGGCATGTGCGGTATGCCAAAATGACGGAAACCGTCGTCAAATTTGAGCGTCAATTGTGGAAGAACTGCCGTAGAAGCATACGAAAACCTACAAATTACGGCAAAGACTGCTTGAGCGTAACACAAATGTTCGGTCGGCGACCAATGTTTCAAAACTCTCTGGAAGACAAACAACGCTCCGCACGGACAGCCGATTTCTGAACAGACGAACGAAGACGCGGCGAGCGAAATTGTCGCCCAAATCGGGCAAATAACCGCTAGGCTACAAGCATTATAGTTAGGTGTTTGTAAGGAAATGACGAGGCTAATCCTGGCAGGTGGTTTGCACGAGAGAGAGGTCGAGGTTCCAGCTACGCGCCGCCCACACGCGAGCAGACAGAGCCCCGACTTGCATGCTGTCAATCTTTCATTCATGCAGTTGAACAAGATTGTGAGCTGTTGCAAAAAAACTGCCACTGCGAGGAAAGATTGTTTTTTTTTAGTATGATGCGGAAACAAAACATTACAGCGTGATATGGCATGAAACGCCCCCTCCTTGAAACAAAGTCAGCTTGAGAAAATTGTAGCGTTAAAAACATTGTTATTTCTTTTTTACGATGCTGTCACAGTAATCCGACGAAAATTTGTACCCGAGGGCAGCGACTGGTCGGCGTCGTTCACGAGCCACGAAATATCCGCGTGCCCACACGCGGGGTTTCAAGAAACGACGTTTGTGACAAGCCCCTTTACGTCGCAATGCTCAATCGGAAACTGTTGGAGGTCCAAAAAAATTAAGGAACTCACTCGAAGGGACTGACGATGCGGCCAGAGTTGCTCCTCTTGAAGTGAGAGTAGCGGTTGCAGTTCATGCGCTCGTTCGTCGTCATTGCTAGCCACACCATCTGCGCACAGCACATGCAGAGACACATTTCATCGCTTGCCCCGACTCGCACGTCGCTTTCGCAAAAACACCAAACACGGTCACCGACAGTGTGGGAGCGGCAAGGCTTCTCTTTTTGAACGCCCGGCCTCTAGCCCGCATTCTTTGACATTGGCTGCGCCTCAGCCACGCGTGCACGCTTGAGCCACACGAGATGCCCGACTCACCCTGGAGGCGGGACAACCGAAAACTCCTCCCCGTCTTTCTCCGTTGTTGATGACTCCTTGCCGGAGTCACTGTTGATGACTCCTTGCCGGAGTCATCAACAGCGACTGTTGATGACTCCGGCAAAGTCGACGCCACGTGGCGGCCTTGCCGAACGTTGCGCCTTCTTATCGCTGCTTGGTTCTTGTATGCAGCGCAACTTTAAGCGTTTGTTTATTAATATTCACTAAATAATCGCAATTCCTCGACGCTGAATAAAAAGAGCGATGAATGACAACGTGAAAGCGTCTTAGTGGTGTGCAATTTTCCCCACCCGCAAGACGAAAAGCAATGCCCTCGCACGAAACATGCTCCCGTGGAAATCTTGTAGGGAGACCCAGGGGACTGGAATGGATCGATAGCGTAAAGATTTCCGCACGAGTCACTTCGGCGAAAGAAAACATAAATTAATACTCTGAAACCGTACATTTCTGTTTTTCTATTTGTTAATAAAAAACGAATATTGGAACCCTATGCATTTAAAATGTCAGCCAATCCGAATGTCACAACATACGTTATCAAATTTGATCACAATGATGGGCGCAAAAGCCCATTCTCTTGCCACCCAGATACCAAATTATGCATAGACCTCATTTTCACGAATCACCTACCACTCTAAAAAAACTTATTATCAGACAAAATGTAGATATTGTGCAAACACACATGCATAGGAATTTCGTGTAGGTTCCCTACAAATAATATCTTAAAAATATAACATGGCGTCAGTCAGAACGCACGCCTACTTGAACGTTATTCCACGCCTTCGCCGAGATTCCTCGGTGAAGTGTGGTCGGGGTTGTATTTCGCCTTCGTGCTCTTTAGACTTCTCGACATAAGCGCTGCAATCACGCGTTAGAATGTTACCCTTAGATTTGCAGTCTTGCAGATCCGGTACAACTGGGGCACAGAAGTCTGACCGCAACCAGCCGCAACGCCCCATCCCATAAACTCTTTTTAACACAAAATGTTTCTTATCAGCCGATTTTCGTGGAGTTCTGTAATGCTTGGCTATAACGTCTGGCTGTAAGGCCGGCTGTAGTGGCCAGCTGTACCAAAATATTGACAACACAAAGCGTCACATCCATAGGGAAATATGTAAAAGAACCTCAGTCCCCCTGCAGGATTTGAACTTGCCATTTAAGATTGTGAAGCAAGGGCTTTGTTGACTGACCTATCCAGGCTTGGAGGTGCCCACCACGCAAGAGAAAGCTCATTCGCGCAGTGCGTGAATGAGCTAGGGCACTTCGTGGCCCGTCCAGTCATGAAGCACCATTTCACAGCGTGTGTCAGAAATGAGAGCGAATCTTCGTTAAGGGGGGACACTACCTGAGCATGTCTACTTTTGAACCACTCACTCAATTGGCATATTTGCAGGTGGTGTTTGTAACCATATAGAGGGAGGGCATGCAAAGTTTCAGCCCTGTGAGCCAATTTTATGAGGTTCTATACCCCCAAACGAAGTCAAGCATACCCTTGCATAGAATCTGCTCAATGAATCTATCATTGAGAAATGGTGTTGATCACCAGATATTTTTCTGGTGTAATGCATACTGGAATACTTATTGCCAGTTACTATGAAAAGAAATTTCAGAAAATATGCATTTTTCAGGTAAGAATAAATTTATGAAATATGTATATATATTTTTTTAACATATGCCAAGTTTTGCAAATTACAATGGACCTTTTCCGAGAAGCGTTCTGCGCACGTGCGAGCGCCCGATGCCAAGCGGTGGAAGTTGGCACAAAAAATCGTGGAAATTCGGAATGAGGCTGTAGATCGACGAGTAGAACACGTAATTGCAGCATATATATAATTGTGTTACACAAAAAAAGAAAGTGGACGGAAAGAAAAACACGACGTTTGGGTGGACGCTACGAATTTCCCTCTTTAAAGTCGCGTTGGGCACGCGACGCAGCTCGGAGAGCGAAGGAACTGGTAGCGTAGCTCCCATTATTGATTGGTAGCGCAGGTAGGTCACTTCCTCGATTTTTAGTTCGTGCAGCCACCTCCTGGTGCCGTCGGTATTTGGAAAAGGTCCATTATTCATAATAAAGGAACATGAAAATGCAAAATATAAGTTCATAGCAACTGGCTCGATAAAATTTCAGCATATAGTCTGCAAATATTAAGTCTCTCGGTAGTTCCATACTGAAACTATAGTTTTGATTTGCTGCCCAAAAGTGAAGCTGAGATAGATGCACTTGAAGTTTCAAGATGACATTTTAAAAATTTCTTTTTGCATCTTAAATAACAGAAATTCTCTCCTCCAGTGTAGGTGATGTCTTCCTCAAACTTCTTCTGATATACTGACATTGCTTTCAGCTATTTTCACTTGTGGATGACGAGTGCTACGCAGTGCAGCACACCTCACCAACATATAAAGAATAATTATTTTTGACATTGTTTGTCAGTGCACATTGACAAGACTTTGTGAGAGTATTCCTTGTTATCCATACATGCCAAAACTCTGGAGTTCTGAATATGCATTTTTTTGGAAAAACAAAGGTGCAATTCAAGGTAGTGTCCTCTTTTAAGCGCTGCCATTCAGTTGCCCGTCATTTCTTCCCTGGAAGACCTATCACACATTTTGTCCTCGCCAGTCTTTGTCAGCATGATCATGCTTGCATTTTTTTTTTTAGGAGTGAGAGTTTGTGACGGAGGTCGCAGGTAGTTTAAGCCCCAAAGACACTGTACTTGGTGACAAAGGTTTACCAACCTATCGAGGTCATTCAGCATTTCTTCAAACGTGATCCCGAGGATGACGTTCGAACCGCGTCGGACAAAGCCAATAATCCAAAACCTTAGCTTCAGCCAAATGCGCAAATCGAGCTGGCGAAAAAAAAAATAAAATGCTGTTTTCAGTTGTTTTTTTTATGCTTCTACCATGTCACCTTTACGCACGGACTAGAGGAAAGTTTTTACTGTTAAAAAAAGCAAAAAGTCTGCGGTGCTTAACGGCGAGAGCGGACAGAGGCATGTTATTTTTATTTATTCTTCTCTGGCCTCACATCATCATCATCTGTCCAAAAAGCACTTCCCTTTCGTATGTAACACTGATTGTTGAATATTAGAAGAAGAGGAGAGCCCGGCTACAGCGCGGGCTCGCGAGCCGGCGCACCGGCGATCGAGTTCTTCTTGTAGATAAAACGGACGCAAACGGTACGGAGCGGTTCTAGTCCTTTCTTTAACATCTGGTGCCGAAACCCGGGAAGGCTTTGAAGGACCGCTTCGGCCTCACCGCGAACACCGACGTTCATGGACCGCATGAAGAGGACACGCGCCGTCGTCCGTTACCCGTACCCTGAACATGCTCACCGATCTACTACGAGGCCCTGATCCCGACTCCACCGATCTGCAAGTACACCTCGATTTCCTCCTCCAAAAAGTAGCGCAGCTGATAGACCTGGACAAGCAGATCAGCGATCTGGTGGACGGCGACGGCCTGGAGAATGAGGTTGCCGGCACGCAAGAGTACAACATGAACATCAGCCACACCGTCACCCGAGTTCGTTGTGCTCTAGCTCGAAACCATATCGCCAGCGATCCATCCCAAGTCACGGACAACGCTACCGTCATCGGCGACCAGGGTCAAGTTTCTGCCGGAACAGGAGGCCCCTCTCACACACCCGTTCAACGAACACCGCGTACCGTCGCTCTACCGAAGCTGCAAATACCTCCTTTTTCGGGGAACCTCCGGGACTGGCAAGGGTTTTGGGATCATTTTCGAGCGACGATTCACGACAACGTCGACCTTCCACGCATAGAAAAATTCAAATATTTACAGACTTATCTGACTGGGCCAGCAAAACAGGCAATTGAATGGGTGAGGCTATCGGAAGAAGGGTACGAGCTCGCTATCAAAAGCCTTTTTGAAAGATTTGGACGGAACAGCATTCTGGTAGACGAGCATATCGACCAACTGCTAGCGTTGGCACCCGTCCACAGCTCCAACAACATCGCGCAGCTGCGACATCTGTATGACTCTGTACAGTTCCGCACAAGCTGTCTTGAAGGCTTAGGCGTCCCATCTACTCAGTACGCAGTCGTCCTCAAGCGCGTTCTTATGAGATCGCTCCCCAATGACCTCGCTATTCTCTTTAGACTGAACCTGAAGGAAAGGGAGTCACCGAACGACTCGGGCAATTACCAGACCGGTATCAGCATCCCAGATACAACCGAAGTTGCCACGATTTTGAAGTTTCTTCGAATACAAATAGAAAGTCGCAAGGAGAGTCAAGGAGGGAGTCAGTGGTCTTCGTCTGTGCCACCACAAGAAGACCGAAGGGGGACACGACCTTCAATCGCCCATCCCAGTTCTCCATCGGCTCTCGCCCTGCCGACTGCGTCGATAACGCCAGGGCCTGGGTCGTGCTTACTTTGTGGCAACCTGGGACACCAACTCCAGGACTGCGATTCTAATATATCGCCAGATATGAAACGGAACCGACTGAGGGCTGCAAGGTGTTGCTTCAAATGCGGCAAGATTAACCACGTAGCCCATAACTGCCGTACATCGACACGACTGGTTTGCGGTACTTGCAACGGACGTCATATAACTATCCTCTGCGACATATGGCGCTTCCCTCAAGACGAGTCCAGACCAAACCTCGCTGCGCCGCTCAGCGAATCACGTAGAGACGAGAACAGAGGAGACTCCGATAACCACGTGACCAGCGCTCCCACTAGCAGCACGGGAGCTTCATCGGTTTTGCTCCAAACCGCGAAGGCATGAGCTACGGGTACCACTGACAGTACCCTGGTAAGAGTTCTCCTGGACACCGGAAGCCAACGGACATTCATAAAGCGAGACACCGCCAAGAGGCTTCAATGCGAAGTCCTCGGTACCGAAGAGCTCACAGTCTACACATTCGGAAACACTAGACACCCGACAAATTATCGTTGCCGCCGTGTGAGCTTGACGCTACAGAGTCAGTACAGTACGAGCAAGGTTACCATGGAGGCGCTCGAAGTACCCGACCTCTGTACCATACGAACACCTCGCCTCGACAATGATATCTTGAATCAGCTACATTCCGAAGGGCTGATTGTGGGTGACGTCGCTCCCCCGAGTTTACAGGCCGACACAGAGATAAGTGTACTTGTCGGCTCCGACCTCTACTGGAAGGTAGTAACTGGACAAATCCGTCGTCTAACCGAACAACTGACAGCAGTCCATACCCTTTTTGGGTGGATGGTACAAGGTCGCTACAATTGCTCAACTGATTGCCGGAGTAACACAACAGCCCTTTCATTAATCAGCTACGAAATAGCGAACACCGGACCGTTTCCTGATCCATCCGAGATGTGGCGACTGGATGCAATCGGAATCTCTGACCTTCCCTCCACCGACCCGGCAACTCACCCAGCGTTGCTTCAATTCAGAGAACAGATCATTAAAAAGGGGGACCGCTATCAAGTACCTCTGATGTTCAAGCACCCAGAACTTGGTATCAGTGACAACAATCGCCTGACAGCTGTCACTCGATTACATGCTCAACTTCGGCGATTTCAGCACAATCCAGAACTTCTGATACAGTACGACGACGCTATCCGACAGTATTTTCGCGAAGGGCACGCTGAGCGAATTCCAGCCTCTTCCACTCCTTCTGAAAGTGTATACTACTTACCCCATCACGCCGTGGTGCGCAAGGGGGCAGTCACAACTAAGCTTCGCGTAGTCTTTGACGCTTCGTCCCACGCTCCGAACATGCCGTCATTGAATAGTGTTCTGGACAAAGGCCCCAAACTGGACACGGACCTGGTACAACTCCTCCTCACGTTCCGCAGCAGTCCAGTCATCCTGACCGCTGACATTCACAAGGCCTTTCTTCAAATCGGCATCCGAGCACAAGACCGTGACGCCCTTAGATTTCTTTGGATCGAACACTTGCCACCAGAAGATGGGCTTCCACCTCCCATTGTCGAATGGCGGATGACTCGTGTTCCATTTGGAGCGTCATCAAGTCCGTTCCTTCTGACAGCAACGCTCCGTTATCACCTTGAATCAATGAAGAATCACTACCCCTCAGTCGCTTCCGAGCTACAGAACTCATTCTACGTCGACGACCTCGCTGTGGGTGCTGCGTCAGAAACGGAGGCCCTTCACATTTACCGCGATGCCACGTCCATCCTGGCGAAGGCTGGGATGAAACTCTGTAAGTGGTCATCGAATTCTTCTCGCCTCCAGAGTTTGTTCCTGCAGGATGGTGTTTCGTACGACAATGCGACAACGGAAACAGACACGATAAAGGTGCTAGGTCTGGAATGGGACCGCACAGCTGACGAGGTCCTTATCAGCACAAATGGAGCCTCCTTCCCACCGCATCGAGCGACAAAACGCACACTCCTTCAGGCATTTTCGCAAATTTTCGATCCTCTAGGATACCTCGCGCCATTCGTGATCCGTGCACGACTTCTGTTTCAAACCCTTTGGATTATCAACCACGCATGGGACAAGGCCCTTGCCCCCAAGGAACAAGGGGAATGGGAATCTTGGTATTCCGAGCTTCCGTTGCTCTCCTCTCTGCGTCTACCACGAAACGCCCTACCCTTAGCAATCGAGAGAGATACGCCGGTGGAGATGCACATCTTTGTCGATGCTAGCCCCCACGCTTACGGTGCAGCAATCTATCTGCGAACACCCGTCAAGCAGGGCTCATTCACGACAAACATCGTAATCAGCCGCTCCCGCATCGCGCCCATTAAACCAGTGACGCTACCCCGTTTGGAATTGTTAGCTTGCTTGTTAGGAGCTCGCCTCTTCGACTACGTAAAGAAGACAACAAGAATTGCCCACCTGGAAGTCCAATTTTGGACGGACTCCGAGATTGCTTTATGCTGGATCGCCGGTGACGCAGCAAGATGGCAACAGTTCGTCCGCAACCGCGTGACTGAAATCCAGCGTCTCACCGAAGGATTCCCTTGGTCCCACTGCCCGAGTCACGATAACCCCGCAGATCTACTCACACAAGGGGTATCAGCTACCTTTCTACTCAAAAGTCAGAAATGGTGGAATGGACCCCTCTGGTTAACCCAGTCGTCGACAGATTGGCCCGTCAAAGAAACTCGCAAACAACTCACCATTCTTCCAGAGACGGTAGCATCATCGAGCACGATCACTCCGGTCACGACGTCAAACAACACGAGCCCGTTACTCGAGTTGTCTAATTACGGATCGCTATCTCGCGTCATCCGTCTCACTGCGTGGATTCGGCGCTTCATGAACAATGCGTCGCCCAGTCGTATTTCTGTCTCGGGACCCTTAACTTCGACAGAACTGATATCTGCTGAGACTTACTGGATTCGCGTCGTCCAAATCGAAGCCTTTCCACTTGAAGTCGCAGCGCTACAAGAGAATCGACCCCTGCCTTCCAGCTCAGGCATCCGTCGTCTACTTCCGTTCATCGGACCACAAGGTACAATGCGTGTTGGAGGCCGCCTACAGGAGCTGAATGCATCACAAGATTTGAAGCACCCTTATTTGTTACCGCCCAAGCACAGATTTACACACCTATTAGTGTTGGACGCACACAACCGACTGCTTCATGGTGGAATACAAGATACCCTGACTGAGGTACGGGAAAGATTTTGGGTACCGAGGGGACAGCAGATCGTAAAAAGGGTCTTGCACACCTGCTTACCATGCAAGCGCCGGAGGCTCGTACCAGAAACTGCACCCATGGCTCCTCTCCCGCGTGAGAGAATCACAGAAACAGGTCCGTTTAATGTCGTCGGCATCGATTTCTGTGGACCCCTATATGTTCGTAACACCGCGGTTGATACGAAGGCCTACATCGCAGTTTTTTCTTGCACGGTCACCCGAGCCATACACCTCGAACTTACTTCGCGCACGATGTCTCAAGCCTTTTTGTTCGCCTTTCGTCGTTTTGTCTCTCGCAGAGGTCTGCCATCTATAGTCTACTCGGACAACGCTCGAACATTCCACCAATCCGCGAAACTCCTCAACCTCGCCTCCTGAAGTACAAGACTACACAAGCGAACTCCGAATTCAATGGCGCTTCAACGTGGAGCGAGCCCCTTGGTGGGGAGGATGGTGGGAGCGCGTCATCCGCTCTGTAAAGGACTGCTTGAACGATGTCTGGGTCGCAACAGTCTGCCATACGAGGAACTGACCACCGTGCTCCTTGAAGTTGAAGCCGTTTTAAATTCCCGCCCACTGACTTATCTAAGTTCCGAACCCGACGATCTTCAGGCATTGACACCTTCGCACTTCCTCCTAGGAAAACGCGCTATCAGTCTACCGTTGGAAGTAGAGCCTACATCGCTGAGCTCGACACCTGTGGACCTTCGCCGCCGTGCTCAAGTGTGGAAGCGGACGTTGGAACACCTTTGGAAGCGGTGGAGAAAAGAATATCTGCTGCAGTTACGCTCCGCCCACATCAGCACCACAACATCACCGCCTCGACTACAGATCGGCGACGTGGTCATCGTAGAGGACGACAACACACCTCCTCTGCTATGGAAACTTGGTCGGGTGACGACTACGTTCCCGGGCAGGGACGGCGTAACTCGAGCATGCGCGCTACGCCTTTCTAACGACTCGCAACTGCGCCGCCCTGTTCAGCGCCTCTATCTCCTCGAGGCGGGAACACCATCCGCAACGCCGCCGGGAGGAGGATGTTGAATATTAGAAGAAGAGGAGAGCCCGGCTACAGCGCGGGCTCGCGAGCCGGCGCACCGGCGATCGAGTTCTTCTTGTAGATAAAATGGACGCAAACGGTACGGAGCGGTTCTAGTCCTTTCTTTAACACTGACTCTACGCTGCAACGCGAGAGGTCTATGGTGTTTCACGTGCTGAATGAAAGAAAATACCTCCTTTCGTCTGCCATTTTGTCGCGCCAGTGAGTCCCCTATTGTTCACTGAAGTCGCCAATAGCCGACATCACGAAAACTGTAGTGGCAGTAAGCGTCAAAAGATAGGAAACTGGATCCCGAGTCAGCTGCTGACTTTCTGATATGGTTATTCTTTGGGGGTGCCCTTCTAACGTGGCAGCCCTAAAAGAAAAAGCTGACCTGGTAGAGTTGGCACAGGAGGAGGCAGGTGACCCAGGTGCTGTGCAGGAGGCAGTTGAAGGCGATCCAGGCAATCCACCCGCTCTGGGACAGAGCAGTCCACAGGGTCCGGTCGCGTGGATCGCTCAACTCGCTTAGTTTGTGTCTCCAGACTGCACGCAGAAAGAGAGCACGCATGTGGAAAGGGCACAGCATTGCATCCATTGCACAATCAAATAAAAACACAGGTCATACATTACCCGAACACCAGGCATCATACGCGCTGCACATCACGCAAACACCACAAATCGAGCAAACACACCTCGCATCACTCAAACACCACACACTACACACCACCCAAACACCACACATGACGCAAACACATCACACGTCGCGCAGACACACCACACTACGCACCATGCAAACACCACACATCATGCACGCAGGGAAACCTGGGCCCCAGCGAGCCAATCGGAGCGTCGGAGCGAGGCACATCACATTGCCTCGCTCCAATGTTATTGGGCCGTCGCATGCTCCACTCCGTTGCTCCGATAGGCTGAGGAGGCCGTAGCTTTAGCCCATTGCAAAGTTATGCCGAGACAAAATGCAGTGCCAGTAATAAGTCTCGGAGTGACGTCGGTTTGGCCATTTGTTGCATTGCATTAATGTTGCCGGCTGTTCCCAGCTCTCGCCAACGTGCCCCAAAAAACACGCAGGAGGCACTCTCTGTTCTCCTGCTCCTAGCACTGTTTGTGACAGAAGCAAACAAATATTGTTGGGGTCTCCAAACACCTTGTCAGACTCAGACGGCTGCTTTAAAGGGACATTACAATGAAATCTCTACGCATATTTCTTGCTCTATTCGTGTTCAAGGAAGCATTATCACATCAGACACACCAATCTCTTGATGAAAAAGTCTCGAAAAGAAATTTTAAAACAAATTAAAAAATTAGCAAACAGCACCTGGTGGATGCCACTAATGCCTCGTTCGCAGTGCCCATCTAGGAATCTTGACAGGTAGTGACAGTAACTATCCCGCCTCCGGCCACGACGAGAGAAGAGCTGAAGGAGATACTCTCCCCTCACCAAGACTCTCTTTTGTGTGTCCCAGAAGTCGCTGTTCTCGCTCCACAAGATTATAGAAGATTAACCAGTCACTCAAAATTCGTACAAAGGCAGCTTTGGGGTTACTTTGGCTGCTTTCAGCGGATGCTACGAGCCATCGGGGCCTATCCAAGGCCGTGTGAATGTCACGTGACCTTAGAGAGGGGGCACAGCGATGCGCAGAAAGCGTATCACCGGCTACGTCCACAGAGCGGGATTGGCTGGGATAGCTCGAAGGCGTCCGCTGCGCCCAGACGTAAGGTCCCGAGACAAACTATGTCACGATTGCTGTGGATGTGACATGCTTTTCACTGGCTGCTCTCCAAACGTTTGCCAGAGTGGGCTGTTTATAATGAAAAATACAGCCATCAGGCTCAAAATAGAAATGTGTGATTGTCATTTAAGGATATTGTGGATCATAATCAACCTACCGTAATATCCCGAGTCATCGCCCATCCCCGAGCCATCGCCCACCCCATTTTTTGGGCCAATATCGATTTCCGAAAAAACACCGAGTCATCGCCCACCCCTTCAAATACCCCAGCGCGGACTCTGCGATCCGATCCGCGAACACTCATCCTACCCGAATGACGCGGCCGGGGACCTTACAGTTGAAGGACGTCCGTGACAAAGTAAAACGAAGGAGGGAAAGACACTTCTTTTTGTTTACGCATTTCCTCCGTGAGCGACCCCAAAGTGGTCGTGTATCCGTGCGAAAAGAAAACGATGGAGATGACAAAATAAGTTTGTTAACGTAACCGCGGAGTGTTAGGTCAAAGTCTGTCTCCGCCGAAGTAAGGTCACCGCGAACCCTCTCCTCTTCCCGCCCGTCGCGACCGCGGTTGTGCAATATTTTAGGCAAAGCCAAAGCGTAAATAAAGCTTTGCTGGAACGTCCTACACAGACGTTTGCAGAGCGTCCCAACCGTGCATTGATAGCCCGCCGTGCACGGACGCACGTATGTACGCACCAAACAAGAAAGTTGCGCAAGAGCTTGCAATTGACAAGGCGCCCGACTTGGCCCGACGCCAAAGTATTTGCCAACGCGACCGCCGGCTTTCCCGCTTTCCCAGCATTGCTCGGTCGCTTCTTTGGTCCGCTCGCTCGCTCGTTGCGCCTGGTCGGTTTTTCTATTTTCTCGTAGACTTTTCTTTCTCTTTTTTTTTTTTTACTAACTAGGAAAACATAATGGTGACATTCTTTCACGGAACAAACGTTCGTGCTATATGCAGATCGGCGGTGTTTCTAGCGCGTATGCAAGCATCGGACTTCGCTATAGTAAAATATTCTTTCGTGAGCATTTTTTTCTATAAAACAATGAAACTAAATCGAGTTTTGAGTTTGATGTATCTCTTGTGCATCAGCGCTAGATACGCAGAGAAAAATAGGCGGTTTTTTCCGCTTTTTTTCGAGTGTTTGTGCTCACCCACCGAGACATGGCCCACCCCACTTTTTTAAAGAATTTCAGGCGGTTGGGGGATGGGCGATGACTCGGGATATTACGGTACTTCTGAACACGACTGGTATATTTCAAATTTCGTTTAAGTATCCCTTTAAAGGGACCATGAAATGATTTTAAAATCGAATTTCATCCACCGCACGTCGTAAAAGGTATGAAAAGAAACACAAAAACACAAAAATAGGGAGCCAAAAAAAATTATTTGCTATAGAACTTTCAAAAGACAACTGGACTCTTTTGCACCTTCTTTCCTTCGAAAGCTCGCTGCCTTTTCACTACGATGCATCCGCGGAAACGGAGCACGTCAGCCGAATCCACGTCGCCTATTGGGTAAGAGCCCACCTCACCAGCACCGCGATCGTAAACAATAAATAGCTGGCGAATGTTTCCTAAAAGTTTTGTTAAATAATATTCAGATCCACATTTTGTAGCATAATTAGAGATGTGTGGCGAAAATTGCCAAATTTGATAATGCTGGGAGCCAAACGCCATCTATCATGTGGTAAACGAAGCAACTACTGCGCGTGCGCAGTAGGGCAGGGCCGACTTCAGTTACTTGGGTCGCGACGACCATCGAACGGTTATTTCCCTTGATTTCCTTCCTCTCGAAACTCTGACTGACTGAACGTTTATTTTTCTACGTGTTCTTCTTGCGCGTGCCGACTTCAAGCAGCAAGAAAAAAAGTACTTAAAAAAGACCACGACGAACAAGAACGCTGGATCCACGAACACCCGAGAAAAGTGACAACGGCGACGAGTCCACCGACTCCGACGAAGCGAGCTGCTCAGAATATAGGCCTAGCAGGCACTCCGACTCGGCGCAGCGTTGCTTCGTCGCAAGACCGTCTGCCTACGACCGGCTAGCGTGCTAAATGGAATATGCCCGCGCTACCCTTGTGGACCCTTCCCGTATTATAGTTTGATCGCTGACCTCAATTTTAGATTAAGAGGCGAGGTCAATCTCTTCCCCTTGTTTTCCGAGGCAGTGTTGACGAACACTCGTCGAAAAGGGACTCTCGTCGATTCTATTTTCTTGTTTTGTGCGATATAGAGCTGAAATAAACGCCGTATGGATTACCTTCGTAACACGGTATGTACACTTTGTTATTGGTATGCCATTTTTATTCTGACAGACTGCACGTCACTGTCGAGCTATAACAGTCCGTGGGAGGTATACGTGCAATGCCGGTCCAACCTTTCTTTGCCGAGTGTCGCGTCGGTATCGAGTTGCAATCGTAAAAGATCGGTCCCGAAGCGCTTACCAACAGCGCGAATACAGCACTTCCATCAAACGCACGCGTCCGCTCCGAGTGTGAACAGGTATTTACGTGGCTCTTGCTGGACACTCGTAGTTCAAACGTATCTTTTTTTAACGTCGGCTCGCTCCTGCATCTCCAAGGCCGCAAAAAACGCCGCGGCAATTTGTTTCCATCTACGTCGCTTTGCAAACGACTGGCACGGGCTGCCTTTTACCAACAATGACAGTTGGGTTGACTTCTGGAGTCTTCACCGGAAGACTCGCTGGACTTCCCAACAGGCATACCGGCGTATGGGACTAGTCCCATGCTGTCGCTGTAGCGCAACATATCTCATTGAATTTCGCTCAGCTGCGATGCGGCGATGAGAGGCGCCGATTCAGAAAATACGTCGGTGACATCAGCGCAGTAAAACCTACTGGCGCACCCCAACTCGTCGTCGCTAACGCTCCCATTCTCCTACTGCCGAGAAAACTTTCGGTTCCGGAAACAGCGTACGTCACGGCTTGTTTTGCGCAGGGGGGTAAAGGTGGGTGAGGAGGAGTGGCGAATCCCGCGCGCCGACATCCTGGGTCCCGACTGAAAGATCGCGAAAGAGAGCGACAGAACACGAGAGAAAAAAACCAATGTTGCCAGCTGAAGGACGACAGTCGCAATGGTAATCGCGAAGACTGAAAACTCTCAGCAATATAAACAGTGATAATTTAACGTTGCAAACTAAATTCTGAGCTATTCTAAGGTTTATAAAAAGCAGCATACTCATTACGCTGCATTAACTTCCCTTCTGTCGAAATCTCCAAAATCTGGTAGTTGCGCGGTTTCGGATTTCCGAGCGCGGCCACCCCCGGCCGGAAATACGAAACTGAACCAGATCACTGAAGCCGGTTATCTGGTTTAGTTTAGTGTTGACGGGAGGCCGTACATTTGCGTGCTATGCAAAAAGAAAGCTTTGAAAGGAACGTGAATATCTTTCCACCGGTAAGTTTGTGGATTGTTGAAGTTCATGACACTGCTCTGATGATATATTTGTGAAATCGAAGGCAGTTGGTAACCATGTGGGACCCCGAGGGTCTGCCTGCATACTCCGCCGCTTGCGGCAGCCAGAATGCATGGGAAAATGGCGGACCTTTTCCTCTAGAGTTAGTATGTATGATCTCTATGGTTTTGCGGTCAGTTGGAGAGAAAGAAAAAGTCGATATTTCATTAATTTTTTCTGTAGAAGTTAATAAACCGAGACGAAAACGGATGCCTGTTCGGCATTCAGTGAACATTGACGGTTTAATGTAAAAGTTATCTGAAAAAAGTAAAAAGGTCATTTCACGGTCCTTTTAATAGCCTTTTAAAAAGTTGGTTATCGGCTGTGACATTTTCTCAGATCGTGCCTTTTACAATGGGTTCTCCTAAAAACGTACTGAGGCCTCTACTGCATTTGCATGAAAATTTTGCACAAACTTTTTCTGCCCCGCAAAATATTGCTGATATGCACTACTTGTAGGAGGAGTTCGATATGCGTGCGCCAGGCAATTCAACCTTAAATCAATTTTTTTTTTTTTCTCAGCAAAGTTTTGGTAAGTACAGAATACATGTAAGAGGCATTTAATATAATAAGGTAAACATACTGGTGTATTATACACTGTTTTTTTTTTTTTTTTTGCTCCTGTAAATTGAGAGCTGTAATAAAATTAAAAAAAAAAAAAGATAAGAGAATAGGACTCATGGCTAGTACTTTTAATTTTACATTAATTTAGAGAGTGCTCTCGTATTGTGTGCAGTAATAAAATAAAAGAGGCTGATAAGAGAATAGAACTCATGATCGGTGCTCTCTACATTTCTAAATTAATTTAAAGAGTACTTTTAGAGATTTAACTTGCTCTGATTTGAAATTGGGAATGTTCTTAAGTTTTAGTGTGCAAGGTCAAAAATTTATTTTCTGTGCCATATCTGACTTTTACTATGTTTACTTCTTGCAAAAATACAAGAAAAGCTGTACATAAAAAGTAAAAGTATAAATAGAATATCAGAAGTATTACTAAAAAAACTGACAGTTGAACTGCGCAGTAATATTTTAGCCAGTCTCCATGAAGCGATGAAAGTGTTGCCTAGCTCCTAAAGTTTTAACAGTGTCATTTCTGCGGGTTACAGAAGGCTCCCCTCATAATGTAGGAAATTCATAGCTTAAAACTCCACGCAAATTCCTTTTCCTATCTAAAATCAAAGCAGCTGCTGAACATAGTAACAATACTAGACTGACATAAGATGATGACCTCTCTGCAAATAGAAATTGCAGTCATCAAAACAGACTTGATTTTTCGTTATGACACACATGAGGTAGGAGTATAAAGCTGAAGAGAAAAAACTTAGAAATGTCAACTAGGTCACAGCCGCTTTTTCAGAACGTTTTCAATACCTAAACTTTTCAAACATTTGTTCAAAACATAACAACAATTTTCTTTTCACAGCCGTATGACGCATGGCATAAATGCATGGCCCATGCCTTCTGTCATGAGGCTGCATCCTCACAGGATTGAAAATCCTCTATAGCTGGCAATAAAGCGATGTGCACTTGCGCGCATCATGCTTAATTGCTTTGTTTAAAGCATTTGGTCATGGCATACCAGGCGTAGTAACGTGTCTACTACTGGTTAAGGCTGCTCTTACTGTTTTACAAAATAAAACACATCACTATTATGCAACTAACAAAAACAAAAAACTTACATGCAAAGCAGCCGAACCAGGCCCAACATAGCATGATGAGCAGGAAGAATAGGTAGTTAACAAAGTAGACGTGGTTGCCGGATCCTGTGGCGAGGGGAGAGAGCAGGAGGCGACAGTGTGAGCAGCCACCTTGAAACACCCACTTCTTCTGACGTGAGGACAATCCACACAGAACAAATTCTAAGTGGAAAGCAAACAATAAGAATTAGGGGATCAGAACTAGCAATCACTCAACAAACCCAGAGGGGACAAAAAAAATCCCCAAACTTTTGTAGACACTTTCTAGAACAAGCACACTACAAATTGCATCTAGGTTGGATCAGTTATCCCATGATGCTGCAACTGAGAGTAATTTAGAACAGGAATCCTTTAACTTTTCAACCTCAAGGAACTGCTATGATTGGCAACCAGGGAACTCCACCTCCCCATCGGCATTGTTGTTCTCTAGGCAGTTCAGAAGCCCTACTGACTTTGTTATCAATAACTCACTCTGTAGGGGAATGCTTCACTCACAGTTGGCTCAGGAATGCTAAAATGATGCTTAAACATAGAAAACACTCATTTAGGAGCACATTTTGTTTCACCGTAACTTGGCAAAGAGCAATTGTCATGGGCCCCTTGAGCCAACCACAGCTACAGGACAAAGCATGCGACACCTCTCCAGAGGAAGAGACCTCTCCGATGATACGCTATTGTGTGCCTAGCTCCGACGCACTGGCTGGCCCATTGGGGTCGTAGCCTTTGCCGTTTGCCAAGTTATGGTAAAACAAAGTATATAGGAGCGAGCAAACTTGGATGGCTGAGGAACCTCCAATGTACCAGGGCAACCCCCAGGTTCCTAGGAACCCAGCCTAGAAACTCATGATCTAGAAAAAAACATGTTTTCTGGGTCTCCACCTTTGCATTATTATTTTAGATTTTCCTGAAAGTTGCCTAATCGCTACAGATTGTAGTTGAAATGTGATCAAACTTTGCAACGTCTTGTACTTCGTCAACATTTATTTATTAAACTGCTTGAACTCGACGCCCACAAAATTTTCCTTCACATTTAAAAGCAAATCAGATAATTTTCTTACGTTACTGTCTACTTCTTGCGGACGGGCCTCCAGCGACCAACCAACAACTTTTTCTGTACCATTACTGAAATTCAAATGTTTCTTTCTTCCTACAGGGAAACATATTATGTATCAATACATAATAAGACCCTTGGTAAGTGTATTTACCATTCAGAAGCTAATATATCCTATCAGATTCATTCTGTGTGTTACTCCTTTAAGTGGGCTATCTTTCTGCGTTTTTTAAAAAAGTTGCGAATCATGTCAAAAATAGAGGCGGGTTATCTTTCGGGGATATAACGGTAATTGAAGTGGATGTATAACAGACGCGTGCTGCCAGCTTCATTGGCTACAGCATGCAGACGGACACAAAAAGTATGAAGGTTCGTCCAGAAATGCTATCGGATTCAAGACACACGTGTACCTTTAGAATTCAAAGAATAATAATGAAGCGGGTGCAACTCGAATTGTACAATGCATACGAACACGTTCGTAAAGTATACGTTCACCAACACATCCATTACCAATGTTTGGCGTCAAGACGTATGCATCACGTTGTCAAGGATAGATGGTATCCACAGCCCTCCACAGCTGTCAAAGCTACTTGTGCGAGCCCATGTCTTTGTTTGGAGTCTCCTTCGCACCACAACATGTGCAAATGAGATCTGAGATGATGCCCCGTGCTCTCGCAGCAGTGCGGGATTGCAGCATTACGGAAACTAAGCTGGCCTCGAGAATGTGGCGCAGAAAAGTCAATGTCCACTACAGCCACTGATGCTTGAGATTCTTGTTGTACATTATGGTTGCTAGATGTTTTTTCAGCTACAAATATTGCTTTTGGTTACAAAAACTATCTTTGGGAAGTGGTTTTCAATACATGCAGAATTGAGTGAGCTGTCCTCTGTGTCATCTTTTTGTACGAAATCTTTCAAGAGACAAGTGTAATTTCATGTCGTGTTGTGACAACAGCATACTGTCAATATTTCTGCAAATTGTATGTACTTTAAACAGAGTATCTCATAATATTTTCATTATAGTGACAATAAAGTTCATATTCTTTGTTATACTAGTTAGATTACTACATATATCAGACATTGCACGTTACCCAGGAATCGAAAAGGATGCTGGGAATGTAGGTACATGCGCTGCATGCGCTCGCCTTTTCTGTTCAAGATTAAAAGTAAATAACCAATATAAATAGGGTGACCATATTCCTCAAGGTAGAAAATGGGACATCCCAATAGGGGGGGAGGAGGGGGGGGGGGGGGGTTGATTGTTTTGGAGATTGAGATTGGAAGAAACAATTTAATGGAAATAACTGCTGTTACAGTCGACTCTCATTAATTCAAACTCGAGGGGGGCCGAAAATTTGTTTGAATAAAGCAAAGTTTGAATTATCAGGAGTTTCTTCCCATAGAGACGCACAGGATGGGACCTGCACGTTAGTTTGAATTATCCGAAAGTTTGAATTAAGAGATTTTGAATTAACGAGAGTCGACTGTATTTCAAAACGTCATCATATTGCACTAAATTTTACTCTCTGGGTAAATATCTCCCTCCCGCCTGCGTTCACGCCGCTCATTGACGATAGTTTGTGGCTGTACATTAAAAACTATTAACCCGCTTGGCCCCACCGTACAACCAGCAAACCAAGCTAACCCAAGCCGCCGAAAGGGAGTCCCATACTATTTAGTTCAGCAAAGTTTCGTCGACGACATTAGTTTTTTTTCTTCCTCAGTGTTAATCGTAAAAAAGAAATGTAAATTTGCTTGTCATGTGCCTTTGTGTGTGTGCCTTTGTTTTTTGCTTAAGTGCAGATTTTGGTAGAAGTTATATTTTTTGCAGCTGCCAACCCACTTCATACAAGCCTTACAGGCTTTGACATACTCGACTTCTTGTAATGAAAACACGGAAAAATAAAATATTATTATTATTTTGATAATTGTTAATTCAGAAAGAAGTGTGCTTACCGACGCAGTTGCCAACCCAGGGGCAGTGGTGGTCGAAGCGCGCCACGCAGTGGTTGCAGACGGAGCAGTGCTTGGACCGCATGGGGCGCCTCACCAGGCAGGTGCTGCAGAACAGCGCCGGGTCGAAGCCGTCGCGCTCCGCCAGCTCCACTATCGTCTGCGGTGGGTAAGGCAACGGAGGCATCGTGTGTCAGCGCTAAGCCGGAGCAGTACCACCTAGCAGGCGGGGCCTGCGTGTCTTTCCTCCTCTAATGCCATCGCTGGTGGATCCATGCAGCACCACCTAGCTCACACGCCCATTGCTGCGAGTGTGTCTTGCAGCGTCCCGCAACAAATGCGAAGCTAGCAAGCGGCGACACCGAGACGCATGCGTCTGCCCGATGATGGACCTAGGTAATGTTATGCCGTCCTAGGCGATTTCTAAAAGTGCCTCCCCGCCACCAAAGGGCGTCGGAAACAAGCATACCCACGTATTCGGGCAGTCCAGTTCACACTTGCGTCTGCCGCTAACAATGACGTAATGAGCAGGCCACATCTCCCGGGTGGTATTGGCTAAAGCCACTGTGACTTGTGTGATTTCACTTTTAATTGCATAGCACATTTGCCAGCCCCCCCCCCCACGGGAAAATTCATATCTGTGACATGAAACAAACACGCATGTCCAAAAGAGTGGTAAGTGGACAAACTGAGAAGACGACAGAAAGACAACAAAATTCCAAACATCCCCCCAGTGGAATTGAGTGCAAGAACTCAACACTGAAAGCCTAACACTCATCAGCCATGCCAAGGAGAAGACTTGCGAGGTGACGGTTACTAAATGCAACAACATTTCTTTCTCCACCCGACACCACGAAACATGCAAGTGGGTAGCTTCGACTTCTGCTATCGCCGCATGAGGGCTTGCGCAGCCGAGATGAAATCGAATGCAAGGAGTTTGCACTTGTGTACGCCAATGTGGGGATAATCCACAGCTTCTGACGGAAGGCATGCTTTTGAAAGGAGTCTATGGTAGAATCTGTACGCTTGCAGGAAGTGGTTTTCTCAATAATACGGCTATCTCTCCCGGTGTCTAAAATAGCCACGAGAGGCACTTTTCGGCCAGATGGCCCGCTCGGAGGACAGAGAGCATTTAGCATTCCAGCCGGTTCCACTCGGAAGATACGAGCCTTGCTTGTTGTTTTACAGCGAAGCTGTTTATGGCTAGGGTTCCGTGAATTTTTCGTGTGCATCAACAAAAACCTCAGATCCCATATTGGATACAAAATCGCTTCATTCTATGCAAAAGCTTATATGTCACATCACTTGAATATGCATTTTAAGTAGATTAGCTAACAATAGGCACCATTTTCAAGATCAGTAGACTCAGGTAGATAGTGAAGGTTTCTCAAAAATTTGCCGCTGTGCGACCCTCGTCGGCTTGTCTACGCTTGCACCACCCTCTCTTTGTCGTCGTCCCAAGTGTTTGTGTGCCTAGTTTCCTTTCCTTCCGCTCTTCCAGGGTGGCAGTCCCGTCGCGCGTTAGTTTCCTCTGGCTCCTCGGGGCAGTGATGGTTCGTAGATTTGTTCAACATTGTGTGTCACAACTGTGTCGTGTGCTAAACAGCCTCGCTGGTCATCCACCTTCTCAGAGTGGAATGGCTCACGATTTTTTCTTTTTGTTCTCGCTTATCACGATATTCCCCAGAAATTGCTTTACAAGCCGCTCCTAAAGTACACAAATGCGGTTAAGGGGGGACATGGCCTGAGAGAGTCCACTTTTGAACCATTGTCTCAAATTGATTCAAACTTTCAGGGTGAAGAACCCCATTAGGATTGATGACATCTAAAGTTTCAGTCTTATATTCGAATTCTACAACATACTATGCTTAACAAGCTCCAGAAAAAAGTTACTTTATTAGGAAATGTATTTAAGAAAAATAATAATTGCAATCCACAAAATGTTTGGTTCAATGTGAAGTAGAATACCCATAGTGCAAGCTAAGGTAAAAATTAATTGTAGAAAATGTCAATTCTAAAGAAAAACAATAACACCTTAAAAGAGCAAACGACTTTAACAAATTTCTGAGTTCTAAAATACACAGCCTTTGTCATGAAGGATTTAGCGTTTTCAGATTATGAGTACCTTAACTTGTTCCTCAGGAAATTTCAGTCAAAGTCACCACTGAATGAAATCTTTACACATTCAAAATGTCCAATGATACATTTCCTCATACCACATTTCCTGCCAAAATGTGAAACTGAGAAAAATGCATCTGAAGTTTCAACTTTAGGTTTCTTTCTTTTCTGCGATGTCCGAGGTAGGCGAAATTCACCTGGCGCATTGTTAGCACCTTCCTTTTTAAGACTTCCCTGTTCCCCTGGCAATAGCTACCAGTTTGTTTTGTTTGTAGGCACACTAACTTTTGTAGCAGGCATTCCCTGACAGATAAACTGGCAAGAACTAAGAGGCAAATCACACTGAGGAAGAGCAGCAAAGCAGGAATAGGATCTGAATTGGAAGATACTGTAAAGGGGCGTTACTGAAGATGACACAATATCACGTCACCAGGAAGGACCAATCGTAAACCCTGTTTCAGGTCTCGACCAATAAGATTGCTCATACCAAATTTTCAGAATTTTTTCTGCTTGGGTGTATTGGGTCCTCCTGGCCATTGATACTTGTAAACTTTGAAAGCTTCTACAGGCTAAACTAAAGTAAATGGGACTTCCAATGAGGGTGATATGTTCTGGCTAGGTTAAACAAGTATGAAACAGTGCTAAATAAAAAACGCAAAAAACTTGCTCCCTGCCGACTCGGAGGGCTGCCAACATGTTGAAAATAATTTATTCTGAGATAAATCCTGCATGTTTATAAATAAAAGTTTCTGAAACCATTCTTTGGAAGTTAATAAGCATAAACATATCAGCTTTGAAAAAAACATTTTTTTCTGAAAATTTTGAATTCTGAGGTTATGTCCCCCCTTAATCTAACTTACATTTCGAGCCTCTCCATACTTTTTCTGCGTGTGAAATCAGATCTTAATCATCAAAGGTAGGGCAAAATTACCACAGCCGTTTGTCTGTCTCGGCGTAAACTATTTTTGTGCTGCATAGTCGAGGCTGGCGCGGGCGTCCACAGTGCTCTAAGCTGTCAAAGCTACTTGTGCAAGCGCGTCGCTCCGTTTGGCATCTTCGTTAGACGAGAACGCATGCGAACAAGACATAAGACTCACATTTTCTCGCAGCAGTGCTGAGTTACAGCCCTGTGGAAGCTATGCTAGCCTCTACAATGCAGCAGAAAGTAGCTGACGAGTTTTTTATAGGTACCTTGTCCCCACGAAGCCGGTCATGCGACCCGAAAATCTCTCTAGCAGGGATTCCAGCCGCCGGCCAAAAAAAATGAAGAGATGAATGGCTAGAAATTTGGGATGGCCCATGTTTGGGGACGCCAGAGCAAGATTTTATAAAGAATCAGCGATAAACACAGAGGCCCCTAGAACTGATACTGCAGATCGCGGACACCGCAAATTCGGATTCTTCAGTGTGAAGAACACACGAGAATTTGCTACGAACTCCCTTGTCGTGGGAACGGATACTGCAGAATGTGGACACAGCAAATTCACTCTTTGCGGTGCAATAAATAAGCGGAAAACTGTTACAAACTTGCGTTTCACTGGAATTGATATCGCATGCGCAGATCACTGACAAAAAAATAAGCGGGAACCAGCTGAGAGCTCACATGTCACAGGAACAGATATTGCAGATTGCGGGTGCAGCAGATTCAGGTGTCACGGTGCGATAAACATTTTTAGCCATGAATTTTATGGTACAAACGTCGATGCGAGATATTACGGTACTCGTATTCACCAGCAATTCGCCCCTAGAGGGGCTGCCGAAAGAAATGCCACTTAGTTTAAGAGTGGCGACGTCTTGCTGTAACAGTGTCGTGCCGCATGCATCAGTTTAATGAATAAATGGCAGCTCACCCGGTACTTCTGCTGAGTGTTGGCACTAATGATGCCCGGATCAGACCTCCAGGATTTGTAGAAGGAGTAGAAAAGTGGCACCGAGGAGACCGCAAAGCCAGCATTTGCCCAGAAGCCACCCACGTCTTTGAAACCTGTCGTCAAGGCTCACACCATTCAGAGCGCTTCTTCCCACAAACGTTGCCCCAAGGATGGCATTTTTTCATGGGACGGGTAGGGGGCAAGAATATCATGCAAGCTTACGGTCGCTGGATGCCATTCTATTTAAAGGTCGGCGCAAGCAATTACATAAGTGCTGACCCTGAATTGTATTTCACAGCATCACTGTAGCACCAGTTTGATAATTCTTTTTTGTGTGTGTGTGTTCTCACTTTGTTTGTTACTTTTTTTATCCCCTTTCATGATCACTATTGTAACCAACCAAAATACGGCTTTACATATTCTATCTTGGTTGTTTTTGTTCTTTTTAAAGCGGTAGATTTATAGGTTTAACCAACCTCGGGAGCCGCATAAGCACAAAGTGTGTTGGTCGGTCAGTCCGTAACCGCCAAACTATCTTGGAAAAAAAACTCGCCCCTTTGCTATACTAGCGTGACCAAGGCAGTGGTAACACAGAATGTGATACGTTAGGGTGGAGAAACTGCGTACACATGCGGAGACTGGATGGCACGAAGCGGCCCTGGGTTGTACAAGGTAAGCGCACGAGTGCTCCGTGGGTGGCATCTTCTGCGTTTGCAGTGTAAATGCGACTTTCTCATAGGCTGCTGCAGTTTGAGACGAAGTAGACGGAGCGTGCGGAAAACAGAACTTGAACGTGGCAGCGCCGAGCAGAGCCTTGGCACCAGCTCGCGGCGAAAGAGCCGAACACTCAGCACTACCTCGACTCCTTGCGGCAAAAGATTGGAACACCCGGCACTACTTCAACCCCTTGCGGGAAAAGATCCAAACACCCGGCACTACCTCAACCCCTTGCGACAAAGGAGTCTGCTTTCATTTTTCTCCGCTTTTCTGTCACTTCTTTTTGCACTCTTTCTCTGGGGAAGCCTGGAGCATGCTAGTTTCACGGAGCAGAGCCATGCTGTATGTCTGAACACGCTATGCTTCACCTCTGCCGGGAGTAACACGGAAGCACTCTAGGAAGAGGTTTGGCTGGCACTAGTGTGGAAACGAGCACTGCGTCGGCACTGACAGTCGGACTGCCAACTTCCGTTGCTGACACTTAAGTGAGTATGGTTAGCTGCCAGCCATATAAAATGTTTTGTGTTAAAACGGCAACCGGTGCCAGGGATCGAATCCCAGTCATCGGCGTGGAAGCCGAATGTGCTGCTGACTGAGCTACGGATTAAGCACACAGGAACGGGAGGAGCAGAAGCAGATGGTGTGAGAAAGCATGTGGAGTGTTGAGGGGTGGAAAGGGTAAGAAAGAAAGGAGCAGAAACAGGTGGTATAGAAAGAGTGTGCCGAACGAGGAGTGGAAAGGGCAAGAAAGTGTGTTTCCCCTCTCTTGGTGACCCAGAAAATTCGGCACAAAGACTTTGTATCCGGGTGGTGCTGGAGGGAAGCACACGCAGTGACAGAGACAATGGCACGACATAATCTGTTTCCATACAAAATCCTGGCCTGGGCACCACCTGATCTAAGAGCCCCACCCATGCCATAAAGCTACTGCGTTTAAACAGGTTTGGCAAAATCACCAAACATGGAGCCAATTCTTGTTTTCTTTACTGTTTAATGAGTCGATATATGTAGATAAAATTATGCAACACACCCGTTGCCAGCTTCACTTATTCAATGCAACCCCGACCGAGCCCTTATGACTTTTCGTCTAGTGTATGGGCACTACTTTCGCAGCCTTTGACCAAGGCTAAAAATAAAGCCTGCCATGCTTTTGACATAGTGAGCGAGTTTGCACACCTTCAATTCTGGAAGAAAATGGCAAAAACTTTAGCTTAGAAACTTGGAAAAAAGGATACAGGACCACAAGTCGGTGATCCAGGTGACGTACATCCAGAACTTGGTGGCCATGTACACGGACATAGGGAGCACATTCATCACCCGCTCGTCAAAGAGAAACCTGCGCAGCACACGAGACACAATGGCAGCTTAGTTTTAAAGCAAAAGCTTTACGGGCAACACTTAGCGAAAACTTTGCCAAAGAATGGAAAAATTATTTTTCTCTCCCCTCTTGCCACGAGGAGAGAGAAGTCAAGACTTCCCGTCAGCCATGCCTCGCAAAGAGAGTGAAGAGAGTGAGGGGCAGCCCTGGTGTCCCGCTTAGAATGGCGCGACGAAAGGAGAATCTTCGCGTCGTCTGCTTGAAAGACTTGTTTTCCAACATTCCTCGTGTTATGTGAAATCCCACTTTGGCAGCTATCCAGTTGCTATGCGTAATGTTGAATGATTTGGAAACTTCCACCCCTCTTACCCATTTACTTCACGGGTCACTGGTGGCAGTCATCAGTGGCATCGACGACACCAACCATGACGGCTATGAAAATGAACCAAGTCGCACCTCCGTCCTCGGGTATGTGACGGCACCAATCCAACCGCATTGCACGACCGTGCTACAGCTATCGCTCCCGTTTCTTCGCACATTGTGAGCGAAACTTTATTCTATAGATACTACCCTATGCTAGCCCAAATATAGGTTGACCTTGTACTGGAGAACTCCCCAGTACAGGATCAACGTACAGGCCCAAGAACTGCCTGCCCAAGAGTAATAAGAAATAATTGCGTTGCATTATTGCAACGCAGTTCTTGGGCCCCAATTCAGGGGCCCAAGAACTGCTCACCAAAATACTTTGGTAATACTTGACAATATCATCGTACATTGAATATGCGTGTCGTACAGTCATGCAGGCACTAAATAGCTCCACGCGAGCAGGAGTTGTTTTTTTCTAAGGAGCGCTGGACTGGTGGCTTACGTTCAAACTAGCGCTAGCTAGTCAGAACTTGTTCATATAGAGCAGATAGGGGGAGCCCACCAATGCTAGCTGCTGTCATCATCTGCTCCTTTAAAGCATGACCTGTTGCTACAGCTTTGAAAGCATGTAGCAACAGGTCAAAATGGAAGGCTCATCTCATCTGCCACGTGATTGCACCATTTCGCAGCACGAAGCCAAAGTGTCAGTTTTCTGGTCATTGTCTAAAGCAAGTGTGCACGAAAAGTATTCAACTTTTCAGCAAACATATAATGCAGTCATTTGCCAGCACCTTTCAATGTAAAATCACCTATTATCATGAAAACACTGGAATGAAGAAGAGGAGAAATTTTTAGGCATGGGCGAATAGAGGATTTTGGGTCCGAATCCAATAGTGATTTTGGCCGAATAATTTTGAATTGAATAGTTCGAATAGCACAAGCAACAAATACCACAAGATATGTTTAAACTATAGTTTTATATTTGTCCTTATTCGGTATTAGAAGTACTGTAACTGTCAATTTCAAGCGTATTGAGTTCTAGAGCACGAAATGGTCAAAATGGTCGGAACCTTGCTCCACCTGGTTGGAAATCCAAGCCAGAAGAAGTAAAACCCGTTTATATTGAACTCGCAAAAAAATGTCTACCAGTTCCATATAGCGGGTAATTTGATATAAACGTTTTAATGAATTTGACTCTCAAAAATCCACTTTCCGCTGAAATATTACACAAAGAAGTAGTCTTGCATCTTCTGCTGCTTTTTCTTCATTGCATCCAGGAAACAGATATTTTTCTACGCTATCGACGAACTCCAAAATGCCGAGGCCGCTGCCTTCTACATTCGTGCATTAGCGCCCAACTATGCCGAGAGCACGGAGCACGTCCGAGCGGGAGCACCCTCTCCTGCAGAGCGCCGTTTTGCTCTGCAAGTTGGCTTTCCCCTACAACAGGTGGATGCGTTGGGGGAAGCCAGCTAGCAAAACAAACTGGCTTCTTTTTTTTTTTTTTTTTTTTTAATTTTCGGGCGGCAGCGGCAGCCGCTTGGAAGAAAAAATAATATTCTCTTTTGCGGACGGAGCAGGGAGAGGGAGCACGGAGCACCATCTCTCCGCTCCCTCCGCAAAAGCTATATTTTCTTTTCTTCCCTGCAATCAATGCAACCGCCCAAAAAAAAAAAAAAAAGCCAGCGTGATCTGTAAGCTGGTTTTCCCCCATTGCGGCCGTTTCGTTGGGGGAAAGCCAGCTTACAGAACAAAACAGCGCTCTTGGCAGTTCGACATATCGGTAGCGGCTGTTTTTGCTATATATTATCACTGTAACATTACTGTGCACAAAAATTTCTCAATATAAGGTATAATTCGATGTAAACAGGTTCAATATAGTCGGGTTTGACTGTATTTAGAAAGGTCGAATAATCATATATTGTTGAATAATTCAATATTGTCGAATACTTAAATTTGATTCGAAGCGAATGCCTAATAGAACAGAATTCCGATTGGCTATTCGTAATAACCGAATATTCGCCCATCCCTAGAAATTTTTACTATCCCTGATTTGCTGCAATATTGGTTCAACACAGTGATAGACACACCTGAACTGTCAACCCATATTACAAATCACAATAATGTTTCTTCGCAAAGTTATTGAACTTTCCAGTTCAGTCTGGGGCGCCAAGACTCTATTAGCCCTACTGAAAATGTGACGTCAAATGTTGTAATATGGGGGAATATGAGGGCAGTTCAGCTTGTTCCCGATCAATTATAAGAAGTATGATGCTGCAGAATGAATGCTGGTTAAGCTCTCACACCAGCAAAACAATAAAACATGCGCAAAATATACCGTGTTTTTTAGACCGCTTGCTCGATTTGCAAGTTACATAACATATGGCGTCACTTCAATGGAGAGTGCGGGAAAATTGAAATGTTGGTTTTGGCATCACCTCTATTTGCTGTTTTCTCGATAGCATATTTGAATTTAAATAAAACAAATAGCGTGCCGGAAAAAGTAAAGACTAAATATATTCCGAAAACATGTTTAGTTTTGGTAGGTAGAAAACCGCTGGAACTTCAAGGATAGAGAAAAAGTACCTGGACAGGAAGGCAGTGACGCAGCCCATTATAAAGAGGAGGCCAAACTTGACTAGATGGGTTTCCTGGCTGTCGAGCACCAGACCAATCACATAGAAGACCACAAACGGCGAGGAGAACATGGCCCAGTACTTGAGCGTCTGTGAGACAAAAATTGAGGTGGCTTAGCTCGGCTATGCCAGGATATACGTAGCGTGAGCTTATGCGCACGGAGAGGCGCTATCAAGCAGCTCCGGTGCAGCATCAGACTTGGCTACTGTGCAACAGAGGCACACAGCTGGACACGCGGCGGCACCAGTGCGTCTACCGCGGCTATGAAGTCACTCCTCTGGAATGCGAAGACCGACGAGGCGCGCGCAATGGCGAAGGAGCCCGGCGGCGGCGGTGGCTCCGCCCCGCCAGCTGTGCGCCGTGTGACGTCACTGCTCCTCGCGCTTGCGCAGCACGGAGCACGGTTCATTATGCGAGCCACGCGAAACTGCTCAACCTCGGCCAGTGTACCTCATGCTACAAAAATAAACAATCACCATAAGCAAAGCTTAAGCCAAGAGAGGTAATGATAAAGTAGAGATACACGATTCATCTTGATCCTTCTGATAAGGTCGGCATACGCAGAATATGTTTCTGCGGAATTCTTTGGGGTTTCTGGTGGATACTGGAGTTTTCCCCCTATGATTATAACATGTCCTTTTATTCCAAACTCTGTCCTTTCCTGTGATGGTGATCACATCTTGAATTCCTTGTTTCTTCCCTTAACGGTGCACTCAAGACATTAAAGCACCTCCTCCACTAACATACCCGTCGTCACGCTGCCAGTGCCACCACTGAATTCTGTACTCGAGATTTTTCTACTCAGAAAGGGGCGTGGCACGAAATTAGATCCCATTTTTAGCAGAGAAATAGATGTCGCATGAGCGTAGTTTTTTTATATCTGGGATGCTAAAATCTTGTAGAATGAGTTATCAATAGACGATTTCAGAGACGTCTTTAGTGCACCTTAATCTGTTTAAATGTGAACGGCCAAAGCCGAACACCGACCGCGAATGCTGAACGCCGGCGTCCAACAATCGGCGTTCGAATATTTAGTAAAGACTAGCGTGGTAGAGACAAAGAAAGCTAGCTTTTCGTCTACTCGCTACTTGGCACTGTGGTATCAGGTCGAGCTCACAATCGAGGGGTCATTGGGTCGATTTCCCACGGGGCGTGTTTAGAATTCCATTCTTTGTTCCCAATTTACCACTCTTATACACATTGTCCTCCCAAGTATGTTTTACAGATTTCGTAATGGCAGCATTGGGTAAAGTACAGGGTATTCTCAAGAAAAAAGAATTGCGTGTTTCGGCCCGGGTACATAAACTACCGTAAAATACCGTGTATCCGCAAATTCCACATTAAGCGCATATTACCAAATTTGTGAGATATGAGAAAATATGCACACTACATTTATATGTAAAACTGATGACCGGAGAAGCGCCCATCCCCCATTTTCTCGCGATTATCTCTAAAGTTTGAGTGGGCACTTGCCCAGTATATTACGGTATGCAGCGCAAAAAGCTCCAACTCTGTGAGAATGTGACACCAGCAGTTGGAACAGAACCTAAAAGTTTGAGAACATGACGTTACCTGTATCAAAAGTTAATCAAGAAAGACTAAATTTCTTTATGAGCAAACATCCAGCTAAGCTTAATATTGTCAAAACAAGTAATCACACTAAGGGTGCTTATAAATGGACAAGTGAAAGCTTGGGAACAACCTTCATGAGTTTAGCTGTGTTTTCGTTTGAGCATGGTGCAACTGTAGTAAAAGGCTTGGGGAAACTATTCAATATTCTATTCTAAAATATCCAGCCAAAACCACTACTGTACTCACTTCAAGTTCAAAATCCACTATTTGCACATGACTAATAAATAGGGCTGGGCAATTGATAGATTAACCTACCGATTAATCGATTAATGCTTTAATCGCGATTAAATTGTTTAACCGGTTAATCGGTAAAATTTTGACGAACCAAAATTAAATAAAGAAGAAATGTTTTCACCATGTAGACACGGACCAGCACACCTATATGAAGTGAAAAATTTAGGTGAAGTATTAACTTAAGGTAAACTGGAAGGGGGAGATTTGTAACTTCAGACAAGTCCAGAAGGTTACACATGTCCCAGAGACTTCAACACCGTGCGAGTGTCTGTTTAGCGCAGCAGAGACTGCTGTGAGCAATCAAAGGAGGCTGCCCTTTTCGGAAAATATCAACGAACATTTTTGCCTCATGGAGCAGAAGTAATAATATGTGAGAGTGAGTGTTTTTTAACGGTTCTCAACCGTATATCGAAGCTGATTCATAATTGAAATTATTGCGTCCTTAAACACATATTCAGAAAAAAGAAATAAAATAGATGCAATTTTTACTTTTGAGCAATATTATATGCATGGAAATAAACGAGACCGATTAATCGATTAATTAATCGATTAAAGGCTGGCGATTAATCGGGTTAAAAGTTTTAATCGACGCCCAGCCCTACTAATAAATGCCTTTTAAAACCTGTAATTATGACAGTTTCCTGCAATTTCATTAAACTAGATATGAGTTTTCTCGAAACAAAAACCTAAACCCACTCCAGAGAGATAACGAGACAAAAAAATGTGCCTCGAAATTTTGAAACTTTATCCAAACACAACCGACAAAAAACATTTTTTTTTTTTTTTTTTTTTTAACATATTGGTGGAATATTTTTTGTGCATCTACAAGGGGCGTACCATGCTGAAAAAACAATTCATTATTTTTCTGCAGATACCAGTCCCTTAGAGGTCTGTACTACAGCTTCCCCCTGTGGTGAAATGCCCTTGCACCACCTGTGTGGCAGACTTTCCACGGCCTGCTTCACTTCCACACCTGGAGCGCCTCACTTCCACACCTGGACGGCTGCTTTCAGCTTAGCAGTGACTGCAAAAAGGCGTCCATGCAGGGGTTTTTTCATTGCACCCAACATACGAAAACCACAGGAGGCCCAGTCTGGTCATACCCATGCACGTCCAAATTCCCGACCGGTAGTACGATGTTTCACAAAGGCGGCCAAACCCAACAGGCTCCGGTCAATCACTGCATCGAGTGCATTCGCATGGCCAACACAAACCAGTTTTTGAGCATCTTTTTGGCACGTCGTACGACCAGTCAGGCGTTTGGTCGCGCATAGGTGTGGCCTGACTGGGCCCCCCGTGATTATCATCTGTTGGGTGCAATAAAAAAACTCCCGCGAGGACGCCGTTTCGTGGTGATTATTAAGCTGGAAGAAGCTGCCCAGGCGTGGGTGTGAGGCATTCCGGAAAGGTGGTGCCAGCAGACGATTGGGAAGCTGCCATACAGGTGGTGTAAGGACATTTGGCTACATCGGGAGCCTGTCGAGAAGGTGGACATATGCGCAGACCTGTAAATGACAGGTATCTACGGCAAAAAAAAAAAAGAGGTAATAAATCAATATGGTATGACACTCGTACATCTCTAACACTGTCAAAACGACGGGTATCGACAGAATTAGACTGCATTCTCTCTTCTTTGAGGAAGGCTGTCGGAGACTCGGTAGTCTCCCTGGCTGTACACTGGCACGACGCTTCAATAGTTGAATACCGCAAGCGTCTGACGGAGAATTCTGCTGGCTGATCTAGAGTGGTCTTAGAATTCTCTTTGGTTAATATCTTTAGCAGTCTAAAGGCGCAAACGTGGAGCACTTTTCCATCGCTCCGAGTCCACCGGCGGAATTCCTCCCAAATCGGGAAGGTTTCACCGTCGCATGAAAGGGACGCCTCACCTTGTCTCTGATGATCCGCACGAGGAAGTTCCGCTGCCGCACCTCCCGCTTCTTTTCCGCCTCAAGGAGCTGATCCGTTATCCAGACCGACTTGAGCTTCTCGGCCATCATCCGCGGAGTGTCGCCCTGTGGAACGTGGCACAACATCGGATGGCTCACAATGTCTGCATTCAATTATGTTGCCTGGAATGGCAAAATCGAATATTCTGAAATTTCCAATACGGGATTTTTGAATTGAAAGAAAAATATTCAATTCGTATTCGAAATCTTGAATATTCGAAAACCTTAAATATCCACGACAGCGATGCGCCTTAATCACTTAGCACCTCTGTCCCCAGGTACTATCGGGTACAAATAAAATGTGAACAGCGGAGTGCGCGGCCTTCGATACATGCTGTGCAACCTAGAGGCAACTAGGAACTGATAAAACTGCAGAGTGGAGAGAGGGACTACGAGGGTATGCACATCGGAGTAGGCATGCACCCTTGCAGCCTCCTTCCCGCTTTGCAGTTTTATCAGTTCCTAGTTGCCTCTAGGTAGTGCAGCATGTGTCGTAGGCAAAATGCTCTACTGTTTGCATCTCCTTCGTACTCCACAGTACAAGACGACACCATTTTGCCTGCATTGTACGAACATGCTACAGTAATTGTTTTTACTTCTTCGCACACTGTCGGCCTAAAAGGGTGCCTTTTTTCACTTTGGCTATCCAGTTCTCAGAGAAAGGTATTTATATGTATAAAGAATCAGTTCCTGTTACACGTGCTAGTTTTTGGGGAAAAGAAAAATTTAATGCTCGAGTCTCTTATTCCCTTTCCCCCACAACTAACTGGTTTTCCCCCCAGATAAAAGCATAGTTCAATCATATAAAAATGTATTTTCGATCAATCAATCAATCAACAATCAATCAATCAATCAATCAATCAACCCCCCACCCCCCCCCCCCCACCCCTTCAAAATAGCCCCATCCCACCTGTGGTGTGGGCCGATGAACGTGGCGGAGCTGCACGCTGACCCCTCTTTATGTTGATGGTGATGCTCTTATATACAATTGATATTTCACGAATTCAGCGCCCTCTATATACAACACAACACCACCCTTCAACGAAACAAAAAAAGAAAGGATTGCCTATAAACAACTCATAATCTGCTTAGCCACACTTTCCAAAGTGACGAGCACATACTTGTAGCCTTTGTCCCGCAGACATTAGATTCCTCCTGATACACTGATAGAAATACAGCCTAACTATGTATTTCGATACAATAGTTAAAGAAATAACAATTTATGCAGAATAAAAACCACAACGTGGCGGAGCTGCACGCTGACCCCTCTTTATGTTGATGGTGATGCTCTTATATACAATTGATATTTCACGAATTCAGCGCCCTCTATATACAACACAACACCACCCTTCAACGAAACAAAAAAAGAAAGGATTGCCTATAAACAACTCATAATCTGCTTAGCCACACTTTCCAAAGTGACGAGCACATACTTGTAGCCTTTGTCCCGCAGACATTAGATTCCTCCTGATACACTGATAGAAATACAGCCTAACTATGTATTTCGATACAATAGTTAAAGAAATAACAATTTATGCAGAATAAAAACCACAACGTGGCGGAGCTGCACGCTGACCCCTCTTTATGTTGATGGTGATGCTCTTATATACAATTGATATTTCACGAATTCAGCGCCCTCTATATACAACACAACACCACCCTTCAACGAAACAAAAAAAGAAAGGATTGCCTATAAACAACTCATAATCTGCTTAGCCACACTTTCCAAAGTGACGAGCACATACTTGTAGCCTTTGTCCCGCAGACATTAGATTCCTCCTGATACACTGATAGAAATACAGCCTAACTATGTATTTCGATACAATAGTTAAAGAAATAACAATTTATGCAGAATAAAAACCACTACTACAGAAGAGAAAAAGATGGCAAAAGCGCTATACAAGTTTCTGCTGCCACATTGATGATTTCCATTGACATAATGATGACAATAAAAGTTAACAGGGCCCTCCAGTACAGCAGTTAAAAAGGCATAAACCTAACATAAAAACTGCAAGCATCAAAACCACGGCAAGAGCCCCAACAGCTTAGGGTGCAAAAAAAGGCACCACCAGAAAAAAATGCTGAGCCTCACCTGGGAGTTCTTGGAGAAGACGTCGGAGCCAGCCTTGACAAGCAGCGACACGGCGGTGCTGTTGCGGACGTACACCGCCCAGTGGAGTGGGGTGTTGCGGTGGAAGGTGTCGGCCATCGTTAGGCTGGCACCCAGGGTGACTAGTAGGCGTGCAGGGTCGTTTCTGGAATGCAGAATGGGGTGTTAGTTTACTACCCTTTGCTGCAGCTGGCCAGTTACCACCACGCGCCTGGGCCGACACCAGGGGGCACATCAATCGCATTTCTTATATAAGCGGCGCAACGCACTGCTTCTGGTTCTTCTTCGGTAGGGGCCAAGCCGGCCTGCACGTACAGTTCTAATTAGGGTGCCTACATGTTTCCGCTCCGCTTTAGGGTGGCGCCAACTTCTTGTTACCCTCTCCCAGATCTTCTCCCACCGCCATTTTTTTCCACTTTTATTTTGCTAAACGTAAACAACGTTGAGTTTCTGTAGTCTCGACACGCCGGCAACACTGTGAGGCCACTTCCGTTTCCGTTCATAAGAGGGGTCGGAGGTTCAGCGGGATGGCGGTTGTCGTGACTGTCGCTCTTTTTATTCGGGTGTTTCATATTTTGAAGTGGCGAGCAAGAAGTGTGCGTTGCTTTTATCGAAACGCGAGTTCCCACCGACGAAATGGAACGCAACAGACCGGCATTGAACGCCGATACCTCGCCGTCGGAACGAGAGCGGCGTAGTCCGAGCGCACGACCGGCGAGTGTGACAAAATGGTCGACGAAAACAGCGGAGGTTGCCATGGTAACAAGGTAGGCAACACTGGTTTGTTGGCAGCAGGTATCACAAACGTTGTCGCCACCCTAAACAGCGGAGCGGTGGAAACATGTAGGCACCCTAGTTCTAATAAACATGTTTTGTTACTCATAACAATTGGCGACGAGGATGAAATTCGGTGCTGGCTCCATTGTGCAATGCCTTGTGGTCTGGTGGTCACCCACCGCCTGGCGCTATTTTCTTTTTCTCATTCTTCCTACGATCCCAGCAAGCTTTGAGACGTTCACAAGCCGCTGCCTTCTTAGGTACCATGATACACAACAACACAATTACATATATCTTGCATGGCGGTTGAAATAACTCATTTCCAAGCCGCTTTGGTAGCACAAGGGGTGGAGCATCGAATTACCGAGCGGGAGTTTGTTGGTTCCATTCCTGCGAAGGGACAAAGCATTTTTTGCAAAGACACCGAGCCACATTATTAGGCCTTTCATCAAAACCTTCCGTGATGCTCTAGACTAGAGGTCCTCAATAACGAACCCTTAGGGGATCCCTTTTGGATAGGCAGAAGGGATAGGGGACCCCATCCATCGGTGAAGCGGGGGGGTGTTGGAGGATTACAATGACAAAATGGCAAATGATGGAAACTAAAAGCGTGCCAAAACCAACTTTAAAGCTCTGAAACTAAAAATATTAAACCCTGCTCGCTGGGCGCACATGGTTTGGTCCATTTAGCCGTGTGAGACACCCAGCATCAATAAAAGGAAAAGTTTTATTGCTCGGCTTTACTGGTCATCGAGGGCTTTGGGGACCCAAGAAGGCCTTCGGGAACCCTGAAGGGTCTGCAGACCACCATCCGAGACCCAATCTAGATCGTGGGTGATGGCCGAGGAACCCTTCCGAGTCTTGACATTGATACGATGAAGCAGTGCTGAAGCCTACGAGCCCTTAAAGCAATAATTCACATGCTAGGGAGTTATGCATCAATGGGTGGCTCAGACCTTCTGAAATAGCGCTCAGACAAAAAGAAATGCTTTACGTTGGGGCAGAGATCATAGAAAAAATTTGGGTGCTCAAGGAACCCACAAGGATACTCTGGGGAGCCCCTGGGTTCTTCGGAACTGAGTTTGAGACTAGGAGCATCGTAAAAATGTCTAGGAACCGGCCATGAACATATCATGCCTTAAAAGACAGGTTCAGAAGCATCCTAGGTGCATCTCTCAAAAGTAGACTCGGTCCGCTTTGTAAGAGGAAAAGAAAGAGAGGGGCTGCAGCTCACGTCATGACGCGGTAGGCGGCCCACATGAGGGCGGTCATGCCGTTGCTGTCCGGCTGGTTGACCGGCTGGCCCTTGGCCACCAGGTAGGCCACAATGGCCGTCTGGCCGCACTGGGCCGCCAGGTGAATGCAGCTGCAGCCTGCACGGACCCACCACGCTCAGAAAGGCGTCGCATCGCGGGCGACCGTCCCCACGGCGCCTACAACGTGTACCTGACTGGCACGCTCAACACTGCATTCCGCCCACGCGTCGAAAAGCAGCCCCAAAGCGGCAACGAACGACGGCGTCGAAGCTGGACCATCCCGCTGTCGGACGTTGCGATCCCGGCGGTTGGGTGTAGGAGCTTCGGATAAAAGTGCGAGGGTAACCGGGGGCGCAGCTGGTGACGATGCGACGCTTCCACTACACCGTCGGGCAGAACTTTGGGGACTGCTTTTTGGACGAGGTGCAAGCGCACCGGTCAGAGACGTGTTCCGGGAACCGTCGTGTCGCGCGGCCTAAACGTCCGCTAAATATCGCAGAACTGCTGACTTCATTCAAGCGCCCCTTGTTAACATGTTTCGAACTTGGGAATTCTGCAAAGTACATGTTGAGCACCCAATTCGACCAGACAAGCGCCCATGTCTAGACTGATCCAGTTTCCAGTGAAAGTGGAGTGGGCGCTCCCCCGGTATTTTACAATAATAACCGCTCCCACAGTCGCCGCAGAACGAGAACAGCGGGGCACGCGTTTCAAACACCCGGCCTCCAGCATGCATTCCACTCCGGCTGCGTACACAGGCTCGAGGCGCGCGAGACGACCAACCGTCGTTGAGGGGCGGAAGTTGGTGCCGGAGGCGGAACGACTCAAGCTCCTCCCCGCCGTTCTCATCTTGTCAGCAAACGTAAAACACGAGCATCGCTCCTGTCGTCCCTTAACGACCAGAAAGCCCGATCACGAGTCTGGCTCGTCTTGCAGTTTTGAGGCTCTTCGGCAGATGGCAGCACTACCACTGTTGATTCGCCCCCCCAAGGTTCATTTGTTTGTTCCAAATTATCGCCAGAAAAAGGCTCTGTTATCCCAGAAAAAGAAAAAAAAAGAGTTACAACATTTGACGTTATGAGGCACAGAGAAAGGTGACACGGCCTCGATGCGGTGGTCCGCTTTGGTTAAGTTAAATATATGGAAACCGACGAGTGCTCTACTATTCTTGATAATGAGTCATACCACCTCTCTGATTACTCGGGGAAATTTCATTAAAATCTGCAATGTGAGCGAAAATTAACAAAAATGTTTACAAGGTCTAAAACATTGTTTCTTGCCCTCCACCTTCCTGAATGCCTCCAACAGTACCACATGGCAAGGAACAACTGAATTGACATATTAGGTAACCAAAACCCCACTGTATGCAAGCTTTTTTTTTTTTTTTTAAAGTTATATTTGGAAATTTTATTTCAATCGGCAATTTCCACAAAAATTAAATTAAGCATTTACTTGGCTTCCAGATTTTGTTTATTACTCTCACTATTAGTCCTCAGCCATTTGATCTGTCCATTCACTACTTCTACACTTTGTGATACTGTTGGAAACTTTCGAGAAGATCGAGAGCAACACACAAAGTCTGGAGGATGAGTGAATATTTCCTTCAGTTTTCCGGCAAATTGTTGATTTTAGATGAAGTTTCCGAGTCACCAGAGAAGTGGTACGACTCACCATACTGAATAGTGCAGCACTCGTCATTTTAAAATAAACATTTCTCAATTTTTTTTTTTTTTTTTTTAAACAAAGCACATTACAGCGTAGAGGCAAGTAGCCACGTTGCCTTTCTCTGCACTTGCAGACGTCAAATTGTTAATTTTTCTGGGACAAGAAAGTTGTCTATGTGTGAAAATTCACAAAAAAAAAAAGTAACCTAAAGGGGTGGAGCCACAGTGGTAGTGCTGCCATCTGCGGGAAAGCACATTAAGCTAGCTCCGTAACTGAAACACGAACCGGACTCGTAGTCGGGCTTTCTGGTCCCTAACAGAGGGCACGAGTGACACTCATAATTAGTAGCCGGAGGTCAAAGGGCCTTCGACGGGGCTTTTCAGCGTGTTTAGATTTTCTAAAAAAACAAAGCCCAACAATAGAACCAAAAAATTTAGGATCCAAAATCTGTTCTTTTGTCGAAAGAAAACAAGGCACTCTTTTCTTCAGACACTGCAATGAGAATGTAAAGCTCCGAATATTTAAGAAGCAATGTGTCGTGTGAGGCCTCTGCAATTCAGGAAACATCACTTTTATGACTGCTGGAAAAATTTAAATGCATTGATTCAAAGGAACTTTGAACACGTACTGTAAAATTCCGAAAGAACGCCCATCCCCGGTAAAGGGATAAACGTCAAACAGTATGGAATGGCCCATCTTTCAAAATGAGGCAGCGCCATTTTATAACACGTCAGCGCCGGCTGCAAACTCCCGTGATATAGGAACCGATATAGCAGACATGGCAAACTTGTCGTAAATGGTGCCGTTTTTTAATTTTCAGAATGTTATTGTGTGTGACTTAAAGCAGTGGTGCAATAATTTTTGAACTTTGGCCAGTTAATCGCGAGAATGATTGGTCTATGTCCCATGATTTCAACTAAATTGCAACCAGAGTCACGAATGAAAAAAAAAGAAGTATTTTCCCAGATTTCCCTTTAAGACGCCGGCAATTCTGATAACCCGGTTCCATCATCAAATGGATGCGAGCAAGTCACATTCTTTACGGCCTAATTGCATTCAGTGTACAGTCTGTCTTCACATACCTCAATACAGTGCTGGCGGTCAGCATGCACAAACCAGTATTGGCTTATGTGGGACTTACATTTAAACTGTATTTTAAGAAGGAAATAAAGATTGTACTGTATTGTATACCGTATTGTACTTTACGCTCAACTCACTCAAACAAACGACCAGTTCAAAATTAAAGTAGCCATCCCCTCAAAACAAACTCAAAACTCACTCGCCCTGACTTTCACAGCCGCCCTCACCTACAATCCCTCCCTCACAAGCCCAGAACTCGTGAACTCACCAAACGCACAAGCTCCCAAAGTCACCACACTCTTGAATTCATGAAGTCATCAAACTCGGGAACTTGTCAAACTTACAAAAGCAGCGAGCAAGTTTTGCCCAGCTAAGGTCTCGACGATCGAGCCACTATTAATCTGGAGAATCTGGGTTTCAGAGATACCTCAAAGGTTCTGCCACATTTACAAACAAGAAAGAGGCGTGAGCTTACCTTCGCCGTCTACTAAAGAAGGGTCGGCGCCATGCCGCATCAGGAGCACAACCATGCTGAGGTGGCCTTGCCTGTGAGAGCAAACCAGAAAAAGCTTGTAGGCCATCCGTGTCAGAGACTCGATCGAGCCTCCAGATAGTCCCTGTGCGTGAAAGCTGACATCCCATTCAAATATACTTATATGACCGCGCTTTCAGACGGAGAGTACTCAGAACTACCGCCAAATGAGTATCGGATCACTCCAGGGCCATCACGCCAACTGTATGTACAGTTTGTTCCTGAATGCTATTCAAACATCAAAAGCGTTTTATAGACCGACACGCGGAGCGGCTCTGTTTACCAACACGGCCGGAAGGCCGCGCATGCGCGGTAGCTATGTGGGCAAAAGCAACCGGGCCCTCCGTGTTTTCGCCATTGCGTTGTGTGGCGTGCGCTCGTTGTTGACGTTGTAGGGACGCTTCTAGCTTTATTTGTGAGTCGTATTTCCTGGCAACGTATGTCGTATGCTATGTCCGACTATTAGAGCTCGCTACCCGAGCCTGAACGGCGGCGGTATCGAAACAAACTGCGTGGACGGCGTTGCCTACGACGATCCGTACGCCGTAAACAAGGCCTGCTGGACTTCCGACGTGAAGTTGCTGCCACCGAAGTCGACGGCTCACGTCGTCGTTTATTTAGTTTTTTCGCCAAGCCAGTTCACGGTTGACACGGTGCAGGCGTACAAGTCTCTCGAGGCCTACGATTACTTCGAGTCGGTTTCCGCACTGCCGGCGGCATCAGCAGACTGTGGGTCTGCGGAAGTGTATTTATTAATTAAATAAATACGCACAGCGTCTTCAAGTCAAGGTATGCTATTTTTCCTACTCTCATGACCACAAGACATGACAAGCAGTAACGCTTTGTCCGTTCTGCAGTCTTGGCGGTAATACGTTACAAGTAACGACGTTATCAGGAACGCGTTACTTTTTTCAGTAACGTAGTAACCTAATCGTTACTTGTTCGACACAGTAACGGGTAACGTACTCACGTTACTATTTCAAGTGACGTAGTTATGTTACTCGTTACTACAATTACACTTCAAGTTTTTTCCGTGCTTTTAGGCGTCAAGCCATGTTTTTCTTCGCGTTTTTTCTCGTGAGTATTTAGGTGAAACCGTAAAAAGAAATAAAGTAATTATGTTCTTTTTCTGCATGAACATAATGTTTTTTTTTTTATATATGAGCTTATGCATACCTGTATCGTCAAAACTGTAAAACGTGTTAAATCATAATTTAAAAAGTAACGCAGAAGTAACGTGCGTTACTTCTGATCGGTGGTGGTAACGCGTTCCTTTTATTATTAGGGAACGTAGCTCAGCAACGCGTACCTTTGATTTGCAAGTAACGAGTAACGTATTTCGTTACTTTTTTTTTTTTTTGTAACGCCTACAACACTGCCGTTCGGTCGCCGATCTCCTTCTGCTGGGTAGCACGGACGTATCGAGAATCCGACGAGCGCTTGGCCGGTGCTTTGTGCGCGAACACCGTGAGAACGAAATCCGGGTGGTCTCGATCAGAAAACGGTTTCCCTGTGCATAAGCGAGCTTTGGAACGGAGATTGAAATGGAAGCCGCACTTGCCTCCAAGAAAGTGCTTGCCGCACAAACGCGCGAGGCGACCATAATTTTCGATCCACGGATATTATCCACCTTCTATGCCTTTCAGAGTCTGCCGGGAACTTGTAGAAGCTCACTCCGCTACTTTTCTTGTAGATTTCGATGAGATTAACGGCAACACAGCTTCGCGGCATGCTGAAATTCTATGACGCCCATGCGAAAAGTGCGCCCTTTTGCCCACACCCCTCGGCTCCGGCGCGATCGCAGCGCCGCCGCAGCGCCGTGACGTCAAGCCCGCGTGTGGGTCTATAAATAAGCCAATGAACAGAGTGCACTAAAACTTTTCGCAAAGATTTCTTTACATGTTGCATTTATCGTACTCAAACTCCCCATGTGTACTAAGGTTTCCGGGAAAAAAATTGGAACCCAAAAATTCCTGTTATTCCAATGCACAAGAACTAAAACGAACAAAAAAACTGTCTGGCTGACGCTGCTACTGACAGATGATACCGCACAAAATCGGACCTGCCAGATCTGTTTTCGGGTGCTCATCTCAAAGAAGCTTTCAAGTTTTTGTTCCATGTTGGGCCACCTCTGGGTGGCAGCAGCAAACCAGAAAGTTTGTTTGTGTTTTCCTCGCTGTATAGAATTTTTTCGGTTCAAATTTTTCTCTGAAAATAACGCTCATAACATTCGACTAAGAAAGCCACTTAATGAGCAACTCCAGTTTATTCAAAAACAATTTCAGTTAATGGTTTATTATATATATCCCAAGGTAGTAATTAAAGGTTCTTGGTCATTTCTTTCCAAAAGATGTAATATGTTTCATTCAATCTTTATTTAAAGCTCACCACAAACTGAAACCTTGCCTGCAGCGGGCAACATTGCTCCTGTGTAGTCACCTGCATGCTCTAATCCCATGGTAAAAACTGTGACTTCGCATAGCGGGTGGCCGGGCGCAGCTCGGAGCAAGGGCAGAAGTGTCGTCTGTTAAGATCGGCAGCCTGCTACATCCGACGACACCTACGCTTGTGTTTTAGCGCAGAATAGGCGAGTTTTCCCAAGGGCTTGTTTTGAAAACATTACTAGAAAGTGAAGTGCAGTAAACCACACATAAATATGTCACAACAGGATTGTACAGTCGAACCCGTTTATAACAAACTCCGTCAGACATGCATTTTAGTTTGATATATATCCATTAATTACCTATATCAAAACCGGGCCTACTGCAAACTTTGAGGCAGAGGCTTCAAAATGAACAATTGTTTTCTTTACAATAGGGTAAGCACGCGTTAATGCATTCTTCAGCGGACTGCAGAAAACTTTTATGATCCATGAAAACGTAACCGATAATGCTCTAGGCGGGCTAACAGCTGGAATAAAAAGTAGCTTTCAAACTCTTCATTCTGCGAGGACGTTTACAGAATCGGAAAACTTTGGCGTGCGTGGAAAGAAAAATCTTTTACAATTTCAGCTGACCGCAAAGCCTTTTCGTCTGGGCTTAGATTCGCGATGTACAGTATGGCAATCGTGTCCTTAAAAAAATGTGATTTTTCTCCCGTGAAGCCAGAATCTAAACGGAACCCAGCGGAATCGTACAGACAAAAAAGAGAGCCACGCAGAGCAGCCGTGCCGCAGCGAGGATTGCTGTTTGCACGCGAATGCCTTCGCCTATCCAACTGCAAATGCCCCATGATAGCAGGAAGAGGTTGGATGATCGCCCAAATCTGTACAGTAAAACCTCGTTATAACAAAGTTGAAGGAGCGGTCGTAATTATTTCGTCATAACTATTAGTTTGTTATAGCCAATGTCTATTTCTTCCCATTATTAGCAAGCAAGGGGAATTAGGATTGCTTTGTTATATCCATTAGTTTGTTATATCCCATTTTGTTATAACGAGGTTTTACTGTACTTTGTACCAAGGAATCATTTCTAGCTTCTCAAAGAACGACAAAGACAGTTGCCATTTCCTGTGCGAACCGGATTAGCACGCGAAAGTCACACGAAAAGAGAGCTAACAAACAAAACATAAGCAAGCGATGGTTAGAAAGCAGCCGACGTGGTCTCTGAAATTTCACAATTGAGGAGAAAAACGGACTTCGGGTGGAGACTGCTCCCAACAGCGTGTCCCGACCTAAACTTTTCTTTTTGCTCGTTTATTTTTGTCTGTGTGTGTTCCTTTGTGCTGTTTGCGATCGCTCTTTGTTTGTTGTTAGGGAGGCTTTAACTTTATGCATTCCATTTTCGTTTCTCTTTAAAGTGAAACTGAGCACCCGTGTATTTTCAATTTTCTTTTTATACAAGATGGGTGCTCGCACGTTTTCGAAGCCCACGTTTTTCTTAGTGCGATAAAGCCAATGGGTTGTTTGTTATAAAGGTACTTTTTTACATGCAATTTTGTTCTAAATATTTGGGTGTTTGATACAGACAATAATTCGCTGTATTCAGGTTCGCTATAAACGAGTTCGACTGTAGAGGTATGCCGTGCTCAATGTCGCAAAATGGCTTTCCTGCTCGCGACGGACGCTGCTGGCAACGACGCATGCTCGCATGGGAGCACACTGGCGCATGCGTGTTCCGCAAATCACGTGGCCAACGATGGGCGCACTGCTAGCGCCGCCTGCAGGCTCTGCTCAAAAAAAGTACAAAACAAGCAAACAGACCTCCCCGAGGGCCCCGTGCATGACTTAGGCAGCACAGGTCAGACTGCGCCGACACGGTGGTATTGACCTTTGCTGTTGCCTACGCTGCACTTCGCCCACTAGGATTAGCAAATTTTGGTGATTTCGAGCAGCTCAAACTTTGTTTGCCGGTTTATTACCTTTTAGGCGGAATTGGATCGAAATATTTGGTGTGTGGTCTTTTTAGGCGATACTAAAGAGAATTGAATAGTTTTCTTAATATGTAAAATGAACCGAAATTGCCTTTTAAAGACGCCTTTGTGGTTTTGTTGCACTCTGCTCGATGGCTCATTCATAGAAATTCAATTTTTATGCCCGAATAGCACTCGAGAACACTCTGTTCATTGTTTATGAGTCGCTGCCACTAAACTGACGAGGATGGTCTGGGGCAAATGGTGCTCAATTATTTATTTCCTCTCGGTCCCACCATGACCCTTGGGGCATCGTAGCAGGGAGGGGTACATAAAGAGTCGAAGAATAAACATGGGAAATATGATACAGGAAATCATCAAGATGGCTGTATAGACTACCAATGTGAAACTATGCGCAGTTTCAAGATTACAGACATAGTCTTGGAACTGACGGTTCCATTGCCGCCATTTGTCCGGGTTGGCAAAGTCGAACTGGGGCAGTGCTCGCAGGTTAAGAGCACTGACCGCCGGCACCATTGCTTTCGTTTCCTCCGACACGGCGGTCTTCCCCGCGGCAGACGTTTAGCTGTCCACTTCTGACACCATGTAGAGACCCCCGATGTGAAGGAGCACACGAAGTTCATGCGTCAAGTTTTGCCGAGAGAACGAACACTCTATGTATTCCACCGTAGACAACGATGACAGCGTGACAGTGGCGCTCTCAATTAATTATGTTAATAAGGCTATCGCACCTCAACGATGGCAACAAGCTCCAGTCTCCCGCAGTACAAACGAAAACTGATGAGTGACAGTGTGACAGAGTTTCAACTCGGTTGATCTAGTCTCTGGAGCAGATAGTACGATGTCATCGGATTCCTTCTGGATAATAGTCCGGTCGTCGAAAGGGTATAGAAAAGTTTTAGCCTGAGGTTTTTTGTTGGATAGCTAGTAATGGCCAATTTAGTTTGTTTCATTTTTTAAACATTTTGACTGAGATGATAGTCATTTAAAACGAATCCAGCACTTTGATTTTGTATTGCTTCTATCTTTGTGACCGCAGGCTTACCCCAATATCACATTGCTCAACATAAATTCTGCACATTTAAAACGACAGACAGCAGCATCACCTAGTGGCCCAGTGGAGCGGGGTGGAGCGCAGTTCTCCGCCAATGGCGTCCACCACGGCCCCCTTGGAGACGTAGAAGTTGACGATCTCCCGGCGGTTGTTGATGGCCGCCCAGTGAAGCAGCGTGACGTCTTCAGCGTCAGGCTTGTTCACGTCATAGCCTTCCACCTCCACCAGGTAGCGGCAGCGTTCAAAAACTCCATATCTGAGAAAAAACAACAGCAACAAAAAAATGTAGCGTAGGTTCGTAAAATTAAGTAAATCAATGAATAAGCTTGTGGCCATTGAGGGGACCCACCCCCCAATTTTCGTCGGACATCACGCGGCGTTTGGCGGGAATCGCACCAACCACTCGATCTGCGGTACCGATATGTGTGACAAGCGAATTCGCAGCAGGTTCCCGCATTTTTGTTCGCACCCTGAAACACAAATCTGCTGCATCCACAGTCTGAGGTATCTTTTCTCGTCACACAGGAGTTTGTAGCAAATTCCAGCGTGTTTATTGCGCTGTAAAACGCAAACTTTACGTGTCCGCGGTCTGCGGTATCAAACTTCGTGTCACGTGGATTTGTAGCGGGTGGCCCTGTGTTGACCATTATTGATGAAGTTTTGCTGTCCCATCCCCACAGGTAGCCCACCTCATGTTTTTTTTCCATTTATCCTTTCATTTTGGATGGGCGCCCTTACGGGATTTTACGGTAACCAATACAAAGTGGTGACCCGTTAAGCTCCTCGATTAAATTTGCACCATCATAAAGGCTTTGAAATCAAACTTGTGCCAAGAGATTGATTAAACCCCACTCAGAAACAAACGCTTCTGGAGCCGTCGTATCTAATTCGTGCGTAGTGTTACACCGGTATATCTTCCGCTTGGCAGTACTTTCAACTTACTTCATCAGCCTCAAGAAGGCCGGCATGAGTTTGGCACAGATGCCATGCACTAAGAAGATAATAGTAACCAAAGTTGTAAAACTAAATTTCGAAAAGGGTCTACAAATAAATAATAATGCATAAAAAGAATAGGAAACATAAGGAAACCGCAAGTGTTCCACAGCCACCTGATAAACACCATGTTTATCGTGAAAGAATAAAATGACAGTCTTGCCACTAAGCATCGAGTCAAGGGATTTGGCTAAATGTTAATATTGGCGGTATTTTGTATGTAACTGCTAATGAAGTTAGTTCGGTTACATAGACTGAATATAATACGGCTTATATGCACTCTCGACCTTATACGCTTATACGCACTCCAATGTGCTCGGAGGTGCAGACGCATGCTCATTCTTTTACTGCAACTTCTCCGAGGATGCACAAGGTTGGGTTTCGAATGACGACGACGAAAACAAGACAGCCCGTGGGCATCCGCTCACTGCGTAGCCTTGACGATGTCGTAGGAAGAGTAGTCTTCCCCGGGCTGAGAGACCGGGCCAACATGTTGCGAGGTCGAGCTCGGGGCACGACGCGGGCCCGCGTTTGCGTCACCACCGCCGGACGAGCCGCCGCCGCAAGAACCCTGCAGTCGCAAAACATTGGACAGCTTAAACTGGTTGTCTGACACAAAACCAGCTTGCATTCTCTATCCACCTATCAAATTAAAACTCACCACTGCTTCATCATTCGTAGCTGTTTGTCACAGTGCTTTCTGGGACTTTGACTTTTATGAGGAGCGAAGAGACTAAACCATTAGGAAAGAGTTCATTGGCACTCCGACAAACAATTTTATGATTAAAGTTTTTATATTACAAAACCACTGGTGTTAATAGTTTGTCACACTTCGTACCTCCCAACTGTATTTCACAATGCAAACACCACATCCACAAATTATGTGAGCAAAAATGTGAGCATTTTTTCATGTTTGTTTGTTCCCTACAATAATGCCTGATGGCACACCAAGTCCAAAATTAACACATAAAAAATAAAAAAAGACATTTGCGATTTCAACAAAGTATTTTGCTGATGCACGTCTCCCCGTTTCCCATTTTTGCCACAAGGGTGCCCCAGTTCTTGTTCCACATATGAATCGGCACAACTTTCTTCGCCTAGCGTGTTTGCCGCCGGTCGACATCGGAGCGTAGGGAAAACACAGCAAGCATGGCGGCTTGCGCAACAGTCATTAGGTGGCACAAGCCACCGCCCAGGTGGCACAAGCCACCGCCCAATTCGAGGGTTCAGCCGTATTCATCCATCCATTGCAGTGGGATTTTGCATAGCTGGGAAAATGTAAAAAGCAACTGGACATCATCACCACTGTAGCAAAAAGTGTTCTAGGACCAAAAGTAGTCCGTACATTTATCGCTTATCTTTAAAAAGTAACTGGACCCTTATAATCAACTTTTTTTTTACTTTTACCAAAGATACCCCTAAATTCACATTAACTTTTAAGTAATGATGTCACATATGCATTTGCTGCCCTGGCTGTTCCACTGCATCGCAATGTCATAAGTTATTCTTGCTTTTTGGTCTTTCCCATTTAACGCAAACTTTCCCAAATGCCATTCAAAAAATACAATAGTGAGAAAAGGTAGGCACGTTTGGTTGATATGTGCTTCAGTTCTCTCAGTCTTTCAACATGCTACTTGTCACGAAACTTCTCCGTCACACCATGGGAGAGCTTGGTACACGACCATGTGCGGCACTGGCGTCAACAAGAGAGCTAGGAACTGCCAATCAGCAGGCACTGCTGGCCAGGAAGCGGTCTTGGAGTTTAAAAATTTCAAACCCACTCTGATTGAGCCACCGACAGAATGTGGTGACGCATCATTGCACCGACAGTGTTTCTCACTAATGTATCTGTCTTCAGCTCTGTATACTCAGTCAACTGATCAAACTCTTTTCTGCCCCATTCTCTAGCCGCTATCGCTGTCAAACTTCAGCACCACAAATAACACCATCAAGCAGAGGCACTGCAAACCCATACAATCAATGGTTCGGCTCTTTTTAGGTCGTTAAACACCATTTTGTTTTAAAACAAAAACCAAATAAGCTTATTTCTAGCTTTTGTTATTAGAGATCAATAAAAAATTATTCGTGCTTGCATACAGTGATCAATTGCAGGCGTGTAAAAAATTAGAGGAGTACATTTAAGACAGCTTATGTGTAGGAAGGCAAAAGCGTTATAGAGCATTATAGTCCTGTGGGAGAAATGTTTTTGAGTAATGTTTCTACACGTATTAAACTTTAGGATGACATATAGAACAATGTCCTGCAGATCGACGCCAAATATGGCGCCTATGACGACCTCTAGGACAATGTCAGGCACGACGCCTAGAGGACGACAGTTAAGGAGGCTGTGGCGCATTTGCGTGGGTGGCCACGTTTGCCTGTGAAAGCCACCATAGATGTAGACGCTGCTGCCGATGTCGAGGCCGTATACGCAGACGCAGTTGCCTCACAGTCTATCGCACAAAGCACACAATGAGCACAAATGAAGTCCGAAGCACACCTTTTGCACACGGCACTCTGGTGGTGACATAACGCTGATGACGTATGATGACGGTTGATGACAACACACTGATGACGCTTGATGACATATTTTTATGGTCGTATTTTGAGCACACAACGGCGACACTTGTTTTTCACGTAATGTGACAAGTGAGGTCATCCTAGAGGTCTAGGACGACGCAAGGACGACGCCAAGGTAATAGGCCAAATAGGATCGCCCATTGAGCGGCGCGTGCCACTCAATCATATGTTTATCAGCCTTTTCAACACTCTTTTGCTCATTAGCACCCCAAGTAAGGCTTTCGCGTTAAAAGATGGCAGTGTATGAGAAACTGTTTTTTTTAAATCGACATGTAATCATGGATTTGGGGTGGCTCACAGAGAATGAGGTGGCCAAACGAAAATGTTTTCTCCGGGACAGTGGCACACCTAGTGGCTGTTCTTGACCCTGTAACAAACTATGGCCAAACTTTCCTGACCAGTAACACATTGAAGGATTTTGGTTCCGTTCAGCAAAAACTCCAAGAGCAGAATTGAGAAATTGGAGCGGGATAGTCAGAACCTACAGTTTAGATTACACAAGATCTATGGTACCACAGATGCATGGAGCATCCTTTAAAATGATTTAATATCACTATAGACAATTGCAAGCAAGGCGACTGGCCGCCGCCATGTTTCTTTTCGTGCGGACAAGCCCAGACAAGTGCAAGCTTGCCAAAGCTACATTCAGGTGTAAGCTTCACGTGCTTGCGTGCAAGGGGCACCAGTCAGGTGCCATGCTTGGAATTGTCTATACAAGCAGAGTACCTTAGCCAGGGTAGAGGTTCTTCTGAAGTTTGTTGATTTCGCAAAAGACTCCAGACTAGCAGACGACGGCTAGCTCAACAACTGCTGCAGTCGTATGTGCACTCAAGTGGAGTGCTGTTACAGACACAGCTTCCAGAGTTTGCCAAGTTAAAGTGAAACAATGCGTGGGTTGTGCGAGCCACTGCTCGGTTCGACTGTACCTATCTCTCTCTCCAATGCAAAAATTCCATGGCTTTCCACATTCATTTTTGACGAAATCCACAATCAAAAAGTTGTTTTCATTTGTTAACTCCACTGGGGACTGCAACAAACAATGCGGGGCACGCCGGTTAGGCAAATTGGCAGACAAAAGAAGGTCGTTTTCATAGTTCAGCAAGCGAAACACTTGTGTCGCAGCTCAGAATCAGTATAACATATGAAAGCAAGGTGCTTTTCGGATCGTAAAAACCTTTGTCTAAATATTCTGCAAGAGTGACACGGTGGAAGCATAAAAATAATAGCTGAAAATAATGTTGTTGGTTTTTTTCTCACTAGCTTGATTTGCACACTTAGCCAAAGCCAGACATCTGGATTATTTTTTGCAGTACTAAACTTTGCCAGGTGTAAGATGTTGGAAATTGCAAAGCCTCTTCGAAGGGGGACAAGCTATCGTAACACAACTAAGCATTGTCCTCCGGAAGGTCGTCAAAGTGCGGATAAGGGTTCACGTTGGCTCTTATTCTAAGTGTTTCGAACGTCATCCTCGAATTTATGTTTGAAGAAAACAATGAATGACCTCAAAAGGTTAGTAAAATTTTGAAGCCAGGTAAAATTGATTTTAGGATACAAACTTCTTGTAACCTTCAGCTCAACACCTCTTAGAGACAGAGAATCCGGGCGTTGCGGCTGGTTGCGATCATACCGCCACATACCAGATCCACACGATTACGAGTTCACGAGGAATGTTACTTTGCACCCTACGACAGGTGAAGTTGTGGGATTTGCTAGCTACCAACACAGGTACCGATAGAGTAACCAAAAGGTTATCTCAACAGCGGCAGCAATCTCAAAGAAGACGTCAAACCTAGTAGCGCGGTCCCCACATATTCGCGGCAATATAGACGATGTTTAGGGCTAAATTACGGCGGGTCGGTTCGATAAATTACTTCCGTCAGTGCCAATGATCGACTACCTTGTCTCACTCTCTCGAATATAGCAGAAGAGAAGACACATGTACCAGAGTAAGTACAGAGTCCAAGAGCATTTATTAGAATGCTCTTCTGAAAGAACTACGATGTCCCCATCCAAAATGCCCCCCGCGCCGGCAAGGTAAGAAAAGGTCCTTACCTGCCAGACGCGGGGTTCCGGAGAGCCAAGACGGGAGAAGCGTTGGAGAACTCGCCGATACACGTCCTATCTCTTTCGTGGTCACCGGACAAGTCCCCGACTCCCTTTCCCGAAAGCGGGAAAACAAGAGGCTCCTCCTCGCCTGTCAGCAGTGATCCGCATCCGAGCGGGGGAATGGAAATCGGTCCCCCCGAGAGAGAGTGAGAGGAGGGCCCCCCCCAAGACAGGGGACCCTCCGCCTCACGAACAGATCGGAGCTCACGGCAAAGAAAGCCGAGTGTTCCAACCCGCGGCCGTTATCGCAGCCATTGGGGAAGGGAGACCACAGGAATCCCCACAAAGTGAAAGCGAGATTGTAGCAGCTATGTCGAGGAGTCTCAAGAGCGTGAAGACGAAATACGACGCCACTACACTTCAGCAAGAAATCGCGACGAAGGTTGAAATACAGCTGTTCAGATAGGCGCCAATTATGACTTACAATTTATTGTTGAAGATACTGTTGATAGAGAACCTACGCGGAAATCCTATGGTTCCGCATTTGTGCGATATAAACTGATGAAGAACGAAACCGCAATATTGCTCGCAGAATATTCACATTTTGCCTGACAATTGTTAGCATGACCAAATTTTTTCGAGAGGTGGGTGATTAGTGGAAACTAGTACTAAGTCTTTGTGTAAATTAGTATCTGGCAGGAGTGTACCCATCAACATGCCATCATCAAATTTGGTAATGTGTGCTAAGACACTTGAATTGGCTGCAGATGTTTTAAATCAGGATGATCCTAACATTATTTTTGATTAATAAATAAAAAAAACAGAAAGAGCTAAATGGTTTCTAAACATTCATTTAAATTTTTTCTCTTTTGACTTTTGTGCAATCTTTGCATCCTCGCGTTTTCCTGCGAAAACAAGGACAAGAACAAAAAAGAGGAAAAAAAAGAAAAGAAAAACGCATCACGTTTTTACGTCCTTGTTCATTCCTAATTTTGTTGCAGCGCTGATGAATCGCAATTATTTAGTTTATCCCAATAAACAAGCGCGTAAAGCTGTGCTGCCTACGAGAATCAAGTAGCAAAAGCAGACGACTGAGGCAAAACGACCTTCTCTGGGGGTTCTCAACGTTGCTGCTACGTAGCAGCAATTTTGGTGGAGCCGCCCACAAAATAAGATGTGCAGGAGTTCTTGTTTTGGCCATGTCGCGCTTCAAGTACAAACTGCAGGAGGAACTTCATTCTTGGGTTCACTTAGGCATTGGATAATTTTCTTCTAATAGTGAAGATAGACACATATCAGAGCATCTTTTCTCAAGTGTAGGATGCGAACCTTTCCCAAGATAAAATGACGGCGGTAAACCGAACCTAACCTAGCCTGAACTAACCAAAGCCAACTTAACACTAAATAATCACTTCGTCTCCTAGCCCATTTTCGAAACAAGATTCCTACAATGCCTCCCCCCTCCACCCCCTTTCTTTTTCCTTAGAGGCAAAAACCTTGACTTTCAGACGTTTCTCCTGATATCCTGTTTCAATTTCCTCTAAAAAGAAATTATGTGTGCGATCACCAAGATTGAAAGACTAAAGATAGAAACTATAGTGATTCCATTGCTCATTTTTATTTGTAATGTTTTCATTTATGAACTTAAATATCCCGGGCTCATTTGGGGGTTGACGAGGATGCAATGCGAGTGTTATTAATTACTATAAATTATTCGGGCACTCCTGCAGAAGGTGAAAACAAAGTGACGCCGAACATCCTGACTACTTAATTACAAACAAAACAAACAAACAAAAAAAAACGCGACAAATACGGTTTCGACAGGGACTAAGGTGTGTGTGTGTGTGTGTGTGAGTAATCAAGTATGCAAGCCACCTTCAATAATTATGAATGCAAAACGTACGAGACGCAGTTTTCGATGGGCGGTCAAAAAGGAAATAAAACGCCCCTGGTTGATCCGAACGTAATCGAAGGTAGCAATTGATTAGAAAGCTAGTTTGTCGTTTGTTTGTTTTTATTTTTTTCTCGCTCGATTTTTAAAGGTTTTCCCGACGTGATGTTTGTCGAGGTATACGCAAAATCGATGGCAGTTTTACGCGTCTTGACACGACGGGGGTGTGTTGCAAAGTTGGAGAGACACAAGAACGAATGTTGCGTCGCGTTTCAAAGCGCGTGAAATGCAAATGGAAAGGACTACCTGTCCGGCGGTCGCTGTGTAATACACCGGTGCACAGGACGGATCCGCTTCGCCGTCCATGATGAGAAAACTAATGCACCAAGCGGCCGCAGTGCGTCACCACAGTAATGTTCTGACTTTTTTAATACGTTTTAATTTTTTGGTTTTGTCACGTAGTCTTGTATACGAATTACCCGAAACACATAAAATACTTTCAAGAAGGTTTCAAGAATAGCAAAACCATGGTGAAAACAAATACCAAAGAAAAACGTGGATATATGGTATTGGTTATAATCCTTGTATGGGGCGGCAACTTGCGCTACCTAGCACCTAGCCTTGAAATATTTACGATCCTTCTTTTTCCGTTTCCGGCGGCGTTCACGTTTCCAACGTTGTCGCGGTTGGCTCCACTTTGCTTTACTTGTAAAGAACGTTGCTTGTTGTAACACTGTTTATTTGTTTGCCCAAGCTCTGGATTTGCCAAGGATTTGTCGAGTCGATCAGCTGAGGCATAGCCTGATAGCCCCCTGCGTAACGTTTTGCCCCCTTTTGAGTGTTTGGTGGGGACGTCTGCTTTGCTCCTCTGCCGCCTCTGCTCCTCTAGTTCTTCGCTTGCTCATTTTGTGCTCTGTGTTAGCAGGTGTTGTCGCTTAATTTCGTCTTGCGAGTTTTCCGAATGATGTGCTCTGTGTAGCCTAGTTTGAGCTCTCTGCTTGGGCGTGCCATGCCCAGCTGTGTTGCACCGGGATGCAGGAGCGGCTACCCCACGATGCCTCAGCTACGTGCCCAAGGCGCCACTTTTTCGGGCCGCCGAAAGACCCTGCCATCTTTAAAAAGTGGAAGCGTACCCTGCGCAGAAGAGACCTCAAGCTCACCACACAGAGTAAAGTGTGCGACGTGCACTTCGAGTACGACGACATCAAGCACTACAGTCTCGCTGTCGGCGGCAAAGAGGTGTTAGTTCCCCGTGGCAGGTGGATGTTGGCACCTAAATGAGCCGCCATTTTGGTGCTTGTGCAGAGCAGACGCCACTGCCAATCGTCATGATTCAAAAGTGCGACTTCCGCAGCATTATATTCGGTGTTAGGAAGCTCATGTAATATTGCTTTCCTCTGTTGCGAACTGTTTACACATACGTGAAGGACAGAAAAGTGTTTGCTGCGATTTCAGATAACCGGCAACCATGATTATAAGACAATATAGGCAAGTGTCGAAGCGTAGCTTATTTAGTGGCACTATTGGCACCGGGTGTGATACCGCATGTTTTCTACGCTGTCGACGCTGATCGAACACCATTTCATGGAAACACGTTTTAGAGAACGGGCACGTTTTATTGAAGCTTGGTTTAGAGAGAACGGAGCTTCAATTTAGATAAACGCCGTTTATCGAAAGAGTAAAGCTATACGCACTCCCGAGTGCACTTCGGACGGAAATGGCTATAGGCCTTCTGCTTTGCCCAGGAGGCGCTGCAGAAAAACCGGCTGGCAGCGCCCCCTACGATTTGGTTATCGGTATTGGGTAGTACAAACTTGCTCATTCCAATTTGTCCCGCGTGCAATTGTAGCCGGTGGTATGAATTCCTTCCGTGCAATTGTCTTACGGCAAGGAATCGAGCCAATTTCTAACCACCTCGCAAAGAGAATAAACTCAGCGATGCAAGTTACGTCTACGCTGTACAAGAAGCCGCAAATTTGGTGTCGGCGTTCTGTCACTCGCAAAAACAGCGAGCTTCTTATGATATCGAGCTTGAGGTGAGCATTACGAGATACATTAACGCATCTTTTAAGCAAAAACTCCCAAACTGCAGCCCCTCCGTACAGCCAACGCTATCAGCTGATGACCAACCTTGAAAATGCGCGAAAGCAGACGGAAGCGATCGAGCGTCGACCGGCTGTCTGTCGGCCGATCACATCGTTGATATTTTTTTATTTAACTCTTGAGAAGAGTTTGATCACACCAAAAGGCCAGTGGCACGTACTCGTAGATCTGTGGCACCACACACTCGCACACGTAAATAAATAAATAAGAAGGGAGGGAGGCCAGCGCAGCATCGAACACAATAATAATAATAATCTTTATTTGCACAGAAGTTTTACCCCGAGTGGCTTGCTCGGCTAGGACAGAAAGGCGAAAGCCCGTACGCTTGTGCGTCTGCTAGCCAACCACCCGGGGCAGGAGAAAAACGAAGGACTGTAAGCTGCCTTTCGAGCTGTTGCAGCTTTTCTTATCTGCGATGTAAGCTTCACGCAACATAAGATCAGCAGTAGGAGCTCCGCCTCCAGCACATGCTTGTTGATTTCTGTGGTGTGTTGGTGCGCGCGCATGCTCGATGTATACTTCGTTTCCGACGCTACAAGTGCGAGCATGTGGCCCTGAACAGTGCTTGACAGGGTCACTGAAAGCCTGCAGCTCGCATTTGTAGCATCGGCTGCTGAAACAAAGTATAGTTCAATCGGATCGCTCAACTGATCGGACAGTATAGTGTGTTCCTGTTCGTAAAATTCGCATGACGCACGTTTCGATGCATGCCACGGCCGCTTGATCGGGTGGCCGCGCCTTAGCACCTGGAGGGCGAGAAAAACAATTGTCTCGCTTACTCAGTGCGCTGGGCGGCTAGTATCGTTCCCTTCACTCAACTTCGCACAGTTTCGATGGGAATCTGTAAAAGTTCACTCCGGGGCTCTTTCTGTTCTTGACAGTTGACGACGCAACAGTACCGTCGACGGCGACGTTTTGAACGCATCGAGGCCGTGCATAGGTTTCGACGTGCTTGGACGAAGGAGAAATTACTAGCTTGGGGCGAGCGGGTCCCCGCGGTAACGTTGTGCGGTGACGACTACTGGTTACATATTTTAAATCGCTACCACGAGAACGCACAAATAGCAGCGCACAGAGGCAAAAAGCCGCCCGAACAGGTTTGTTATTGTACAGGCCTTGGCAGGCTTGTACTACTCAGACATTTATTGTCCGCCACCGGAGGGTGCCACAATACGTTCAAAGCTTCAGTGCAGGAGGCCTATACGCACTCCGCGGAGAGGTCATGCCGCTCGGGCCACCCTTTTCGAACGGCGCGTGTATCACTGGGGAGCTTGTTAACACAGCCCCTTCGCGGCGACAGTATGCGGCTGCTAACTACAAAGCTTAACCAGTACACGCCGCTTCGCGGCATCCAGCCGGCAACCCAAGCCCCGCTGTCCCCGATCGCACCTCCGGAAAGGGAGTCCCATACCATTTAGTTCTGCAAAGTTTCGTCGACAACATTCGGTTTTTTTAGTGTTCATCGCAAAAAAGAAATGTCGTAAACATCGCCAAATGCCTCGACAAAACAAAATGTTTGAGAAAAAAAAAAAAGTAGGCTTACCGCGGATCGAACCTTCGTCCACTTGCATATAAAGCGGACACTTTAACCCCTATGCTATGCCATCGCTGAGAAAACTAGTGACCATTTGTTTTATACGAGTTTAGCGGAGTGCGTATAGCCATTTCTGTCCGAAGCGCATTTCAAAGTGCGTATAGCTTTACTCAAAGAAATGTTAACACATCTGGCCCATCCGTACACGCCGCTTCGCGGCAGCCGATTTCGATAAAAGGACGCTTGTCACCATTTTCTTTACACTGGGTTTCTCTATAAAGGGATTCGATAAACAAGCTGGTAAAACAGCATTCGCTAAAATGAGCTTCTTTAAACAGCATGCCTCCGCCGTCACATTACTGTCAGGGCTGTGAACATTTGAAAGTTTTGTTGAGGCAACGGGCAAGAGTTGCGGGATATATCACACTCGTCGCGTGGTTCATGGTCACTTACTCGTCCAGAAGACTAGTTTTTGACGAACACTTAGACTTTTTTATGAATGGTTACGACAAGCTTTGCACGAAGTGTTGTGTATCGTGAAAGGTGCTGTTGAAGTCGAAGGCGTACTGAAGCAGGTGGACAAACTGAAAATATGTAAAGCCGTTAACACAGACCACTTGTGCTAAGTGCAAGCACACCTTGAAGATTAATTGGTTCTGTCGGCGCAGAAAATCTATCCTTGTAACCTGAAATTGCTTTGAAAATTGTGGCAAGCACTGCCATCAAACAAAAGGAGGAATGCCTGGAAGCTGGAGCAACCTGAAAACAGTTTTGTTGCTCCGAGCTGTGGTGGCTCCCAAGAAAAAGAAGGAAGTGGTGTTGGACCTGAAGAAGAAACACCAGAAGTCACCAGTGGCTTGCATTGAGAAATATTTAGGTGGCCTTCCATCTCTTTACTGTCTTGCAGTGCAGAGTGGTTTGCTCCACTTCATGCTTTTCGGAATCGCAAGCTGCTAAATGGTCTCAAAATGCTGCCACTGCCTTGGACGATTCGTTTGACACGGATATTAAAGGGTAACACTATTTAATTTTAGATATAGAGAAAAGAATGCAGTTCTCTTTAGTATCAAATACTCCACCCAGAAGTTTATTAAACTGGCCAACGAAGTTTGAGACATGCCGAGTCGCCAAACTCTGCCTAGTGAGCGAGGTGTGGCACAGTCCATCCATCTATTTACAAATAAGCGCTGGCTCTTATAGGGGACATCTGCACAACTGGTATGTGACCAGGTTTCTCCCCTAGTGGCTAGAAAACCACATTCACATGGCTTGTCTGACCTGTTCAACCACAGTATTTGAGCACATTCGTCATGTTCCCAGGCTTTCTGGTTGCTTTTTCTTTTTTAGGTGAGGAAATGCCATCTGCCCTATAAGTGTATCACTAAATCGTCATCCCTCAGAGTGTGGAATTCTCCTAGAACCGCAGTACCACCTGCAAAGAAACCTTGCTTTGTCGTGGCACAAGTGTACGCCTTGCAGGGAAACCCTTATTGCTGTAGTAGACGATAGCTTCACCGTAGGTGCAAGAACTATTCAGTGACATCAAATAAAAGATGAGGCATTCAATAGGAACGGAGAGGCTCACGAAATGACAATGGCATAATGAACCATTTTAAAAAATTTGCCGGTTTGGGAGGCTCTGGTTTAAAATTATGTCAACATGCAATCAAGGTAGTGCTGGCACTCCCTTTTCCAACGAATTAAGGTCCTGCTGGCTCTATTGAGCTGCTTTACCTAGATTGAGCTCCCCTAAAGTCTTTTTTATACCTATTGTGG